TCAGAAGAGAACTTTCTTCAATTAACCTTGGCCACACATGGGTTCTTTGTTACTGTTGACATTGCTAGTTCTATAGGTTTGGTGGATCCGCAGATTTTCTTCTATTTATCGTTGACGCCAAAACTTTGATTAATCATATGACCGCATTTATTTGTTCATTTGGTTGCTCAAAACATCGGTTTGGGATTGTGGCCTCTAGGTTTAATACGATTTCTTTTCCAATATTGAAAATGAATTCTTGAAGTTAAGTCTGATTATCAGAAATTTTAAACGTGAAAAGCATCACTTGCATGGTGTTCCACTTCCACTCCTGCCCTGTTTCCGAACCTTTCTCTAAACATTCTCGTGATTTTGAACAAACCTCACATATTGTAAAGGGCTTTGAAGTGTGGCCTTTTTAGATTTGTTGTTCCGGCTAGTCAATTTCCATAGTTAGGGAAACTCCAGTATCGATTGTGATAAACTTTCAAGACAAAGTTAAGTTATTAAGTTAAAGATAATGCAAGATATTGGAAACCACTAGTAGTTTGTACCAGATAAAGATTTAGTCTTATGTGCCAAGAATTAGAAAGAGCTACAGCAACATAAGAAATTCCTGTCAATAATACACCCTCCCGAATGAACATATTATCCAAAAAAAAAAGTTCTTAGTCTCATAAATGTATGGGTATTCTTAGCATGGTGTTACACTGTATTACATGAAGGTACCCCAGAATACGATTTAAAGCATTTTGGTTTGGGATCCACGAGGTCTCTGGCAATCATTTCTTTTTTTTTTGAAATTTCAGCACTTCAATCATCTTCCAAATCATGTACAAATTTCTGATTGACATATAGCTAGGTGTTTTTATAAGCCAACCCATTGATCTAATTTGACTTGTTGTAACAGGATACAGTATTTGATCCAGTATCTCTTACCTGCGGTCATATCTTCTGCTACATGTGTGCTTGCAAGTCTGGTTCAGTGACCATAGTGGATGGGTTAAAGGCAGCAGATCCCAAGGAAAAATGCCCCCTCTGCCGAGAGGTGAGTTATTATCTTTAAAATTCTCTACCAATTTTTTCTTTCGCATTTTCTGTTCAATTTTTAGTAGCTTCTGCTTTATTTATCTGACAAAAGCATTTCTAGACAACTGAAGGGACAGATAATTGCATTGAAATAATCATTTGAGAAAAAAAATATGCATAGGTTGATGCCAAAGTTGCATCATTAAATACCGAAGCACACAATTGCTCAACCAAATATATGTCGTTGATCTTGGAAACCTCAGGAGGATGACATTTTATAGTTGAAAAGTTACATGCTGATAAGTATGCCTCTTCCTAAAATGGTTTCCAATAGTCCTAAAATGGTTTCCAATAGTGTTTCCAATGGTATCTAGTGTCTAAAGTTATTGAACATTCAGTCACAATATTTTGTCATAATTCAGAGGTGCACTGCAGTTGTTACACCGAAAAAAGGGGTTATTTATTGGAAATAATTATTCTTTGTTGAAATTAGGGTTGATATCCTCTGTACCTTGATGTGGTGAGCCTTGATACTCATCAGGAAGAATGAGATGTTCTGTTTCATGAATCTAATAGTTTAATGATCTTATACTGTTGTAATAAATCGATTCTGATTGATTTCAGGCAGGAGTTTATGAAGGTGCTGTGCACTTGGATGAGCTGAACATTCTATTGAGCCGGAAGTATATATTTTCTCTGTTCCATTTATTTGATAATCAGACAGCTGAGGTGGTTAAATATGTTGTCATTTTTGTTGCACCCCCTAGCAAATTTCTTACTTATCATTCTTGAATTGAACAGTTGTCCTGAATATTGGGAAGAACGTCTTCGGGTTGAAAGAGTGGAAAGAGTTCGGCAGGCCAAGGAGCATTGGGAATCCGAGTGCCGGGCATTCATGGGCGTCTGAATTAAAGAGATCTTTTTCCTTCAGTGTTAGAAATATGGTACCACTGCATAAATCAGTTGATGTTTCCTTGGTTGGGGATGTTCTGTATCTCGCACATGCGAATAAATTTGTACATATCTATGTTTTGTTCCATGTAATGACATTTTGGAGTTCTTCATAAGGCTTGTTAGTGTCTTGCTAGGCTGAAATGGAGTGCAATTGTTGTAAAATGTTGGTTGTTGTTCAGAGTTTAGGGTTTATGGAGGGTGAATTCCCTATAAAGTATTTGGGAGTCCCTATTATATCTACAAGACTTAAGGCTTTGATGATGATGTTTTGAGGGGGGGGGGGGGAGGGGGGGGCTTTGGTATAAAAAATTTAGCTGAGTGGAATAAAGCTTTGATGATGAGGCACATGCAGAATTTGTTTACTGATAAACGCAGCCTTTGGTCTAATTGGATAAGAGCTTCTGGGAAGTTAAAAAAACCTCAAATCTGCTCCTGGAATTGGAGAAAGATTCTTCGACTCGGAGATATGGCCAGACCTTTAATGCATCATGTTGATTGGTAATTGGACGAAAACACACTCATGGCATGATAACTGCCATACATGTGATCCTTTGTTGCTAGGGTACTCCTGTAGAACTCTGTATGATTCAGGTTTGCCTAAGGGAGCATAGGTCAGTTCTATTGTTTCAAGGGGAGGAGTGGTGTTGGACTGATACATATTCAGACGAGTTGCTTGAAATTAATGCCTCAATTCCCTCTTATAAGCCTAATAGCTTAAAAGAGGATATTATTCTTTGGAAGCCTGCTGCACGTGGTTTATTTTCAGTAGCTGCAGCGTGGGACCATATTAGAATTCAATCACCTATCGTTAATTGGTGCCACCTAGTGCGGTTCAACAAGGCTGTTCCAAGGTGGAGTTTCATATTATGGCTTGCCATCAAATGTAAACTGATGCCACGGTGGAGTTGATTGTGTACTTTGCAGATCTGCCATGAAGACCATCAACATCTATTTTTCCAATGTTCCTATTCAGGTAGGGTATGGTTCTCAGTGATTAGTAAATGTGATTTATGTATGCAAAATATGCCGTGGTGTTCCTTGGTTAATTGGGCTGCCAATGAATGGAGAGGAAAGGCCTTGACGACAATTATAATGAGCCTATGTTTATCAGCAACTGTTTATTATATTTGGAAAGAGAGGAATTCAAGAATCTTTCATAACTCAATTCAAAGAAACTGAGACAATGAAGCTTGAGTTGTGTGCAGTGTTAAGGGAAAGATTGTCTACTCTTTAAGTTTTCAAACTATTCTCATAGAAGACTATTTGCAACATTGCTGCAGTAGATATTCAATATGATGTTTGCTGAAGGCCCTTGCAATTCATTTACTCACTGAGTTACACAAAATAGAGTGAAATGTTGTTATTTGCTTGCTCTGAGGATACGACTTCTTAGAGTTGAGTGGAGTTATTACTGAGTGTGATCATGATTGATAGCAAGTAGTTTGCTGTATACTGTATTGGAAATCTTGTGTTGATTTCTGCTGGACATGGCTGAGCTCCATTGCTTGAGAGAATGCCTTGAAGTTATGCCTTTTCACTGGTTGTGCCTATTGTTGTTGGGAATCCAATTATTTGGCTGTGCTTTGTTACTGGTTGTGCCTATAGTTGATTATTGTGACTTGATGGTGTGCATCTGCACTTTGTTAAGAAGTTTTCGTGTTTTTCCTCTTTCCTTGTAAGGCTCTATATTTTCTACCAATAAATATTCAAATTTTATTTACCAAAAAAAAAAAAATGTTGGTTGAGATGGCTTACCCTTTTGGTGATGCATTACTTGGTCTTTCGTTTAACCTGATTCTAACGTGTAGAGAGATTATTTTAATACCTTAAATCCGTGATGCTTAGGGCAATGAAGTAATTTTATTATTAGATCAAAGGTCGCTTTGAATAAAAACTAAAAAAAAATTAAAAAGCTAAAAATAGTTCAAAAAGAATTGGGAAATTTGGAGGCCGGTCCCTGGACTTGTTTGGACTTAAATCCGTCAAAAAAATTTATTTGTTATGAAATCTATTTTTTGTCAATTTTATCATATTATCCCTTCCTTTTAGAAGTGGAATAAAGTTAAAAATTAAAAACTCCTAAATCTTAGGAGTTTGACTAACATTAAAATTTTTTTCTCTTTATATCTATCTATATCCATGCATAGGTTAAGAGTTTGATTAACATTAAAATTTTCTCTTTCTCTTATCTATCTATATATATATAATAACATTAAAAATAAAAAATAGTAATATTCAAATACAAAAAAAATTATCATTTGAACACAAAAAATAATACATTTAAACACAAAAAAATAGTAACATTTAAACATAAAAAAATTAAAACATTTAATATTAATATTTTTAAAAAATAACAACAGTAACATGTTCAACAAAAATAGTAACATGCTTAATAAAAACTATAACATACTTAACAATAATTATTTCTTTCAAATTCAAATGTAAAAAATAGTACCATTCAAATACAAAAAATAGTAATATTAAAAAAAAAATAGTAATATTAAATATTAATATTTAGAAAAATAATAGTAGTAACATGATAAACAAAAACAGTAATATGCTCAAAAATAATAGTATATGAACAGTAACATACTTAACAAAAACAGTAACATAATAAAAAAAATAGTAACATGAATTTGAATTTTATTATTCAAATTTATAGTAATTTTTTTTTTGTATTTGAATGTTATTATTTTTTTTTAATGTTATTATATATATAAATAACCTATATATGGATATAGATAGATAAGAGAGAGAAAAAATTTTAATATTAGTCAAACTCTTAACCTATATATGAATATAGATAGATATGAGAGAGAAAATATTAATTTCTTTTTAAGGAAGGGTATTTTTGAGATAAAAATAAAAAGTGGACTTAAGTCATTACATATAATTTTAAACATGGACTTAGCCCCTTATAACTTTTCTTACAGGACTTATTTCTAAATAATTACATTTAGGAGGACTCACTTTCAATTTTTACAAAATAATTAGGTTAGAGCAGCCAAATGGGCCCTCCCTCCAAGGATGGGTTGTTGGATTTGGAGGCCCAAAATTACAAATTAGATAGGATGGTATAAGCAAATAATGGGCCGAAAGGCAAGGGAGTTTCGATTCAGTTCATAGCCCAATGATCTCTCAACGGGCCAGCCTTTTCTTGGATTATCTCCCCCCTTCGAGTAAAGCAAAAGTTCAACGTCAGCCCAAATGCACCTCAATCATATGGACCTTTGATTCACCGACTTTCCTAAGAGAACCAATCTTGACCCTTAAACTTCCTGATCGTCCAATAGAATTCCTCGTCTGGTCACACGCTATAAACTATCCGAGGCTCTGAGCGATCACATGTTAAAACATTGAAAGGGTTTAAGAGTAAAGAGGGTAGTTGTACTTCAACACTTTTTTGTCGCAAGTTTTACTCTCCCACTCTACTTTGCTTCTAGGGTTTCCCATTTTGATTCTTTCTTCTTCTAGACAACAACATGAGGTAATCTTTCTTCTCTGCTTCTGATTTTTGCGATTCTCGGGTTCTGACCCCCCTTCCGATTGAATCTTTTATGATACGAAGAAGAAAATACGAACAAGTTTTTCTTCTTCGATTTTTGAAATGGAACATAGTTTGTATACTAGGAACTTAATTAAGTTTTTGGTTCTTGTTTCATACGTTGCTTTTTGTCCCCCTTAGAAGCTGAGATCTCAATGGTAAAATGGTTAATATTTGCGTTAGGCTCACTTTCGTGAAGTTTATAGTTTCCTTGGATTCTATTTAGTGCAATTCTATGTACTGGTTTTTGTTGGATAGTGTACTTTTTTTTCTTAGTTTTCTATGATTTGTAACCAAGTAGAGTATATCTGATCTCGCTAATTGCTTTCAGATGTGTAGTACACAATGGCATGACTCTTTTCTTGCTGTCTCATCTACAGCTAAAGAACAGATTTCTAGGATTTTTGTTGTGTTAATGGTTGAACAAATGTTTTTTTAGTTTACAGTTGGTTCATGGAATTGTTATGCATGATGAATGAGAGGAGTTCTACTAGGCATGATTGTAGAATAGGTTTATGAGGTTGAGTAACAAGTCAGATCAGATCCGTTTAACATAACAGTTTACTTGATTGGATTTTGTATTTAACTACATTCTGAAATTTACTTGTGCTTTACATAATTCTTTAAATTGATCGTCATTTTATTTTGAACAGTGTTCAGTATAAGTTTCAATTGATAATTTTCTTTACTTCTTGGTTGAGTACATAATTTCCTTTATTGTGTGGTTCAAAATATGAATATTTGATGCAACATGTAAACGGAAAATATACCGTAATCAGAGGTTGAGTTCTGTGAGGAGTTGGTATGACCTTGTAGATAAAGGCAATATGCTGTGATGAGAAAAATGGGATATTGAACTGTCCAAACTGTATAAACTAAATGCTTGTGTTATTCTCTTGCTCCTTCCCACTTTTGGCCTAGTTCAGTATTCTAACAATGTAGTCCCTCCCCCCCCCCCCCCCTTCCCCTTCTTAGTGCCACTGAAGCTGGTCATACTACATCCATAGATATACCCTAGTTTCTTTAGTACCTTGAGAACTTGTGCCAGTGTGAATGTGTATATCATGTTCACTTAATATTCGATGACCATACATGTTGGATATCCTTATAATCCTGGTCTTGTTTCTTTATTGTTTTAATTATTTTTGGCGTTTGGTCTGTCTTTAAGCCTTCTTCTAAGTTTCTTTTAACTTTGTAGTCGTCATCCTGAGGTGAAGTGGGCCCAGCGGGAAGACAAGGTCTATATTACAGTTCAGTTGTCAGATTCGCAAAATGCAAAGGTCAATCTTGAACCAGAGGGGTTTTTTACCTTTTCTGCTAATTCAGGAGCGGGGAACCACCTCTATGAACTGAAGCTTGATCTTTTTGATAAGGTTAATGTAGAGGTAAGAGGCTAGTTCCTTCATTTGTTATTTTCTTTTACTCGTTCTAAAATCGTTGCAGTTCTATAATTTAGGATTATGGTGCACCCTACACTGCACATTTATCTCTTGTTTACACTGACTTTGTAAGTGGACAATTTTGTCTGTTCTTTAATTGTCATACCTCCATCTTATATGCACTTAAGATGAATCTAGATACTGAAAGCGCAATAAACCCGTGGTGATTGTATTTGGGGACTGAATCTATGAAATAACGCAGACGTAATTTATTGTTCATTCCTTTTGGGTAATGGAAAGGGGATAAATTTTTCTTCGGGGAAATACATTACGTGCCAAGTTGCATGCTTTCTTTGCTCTCTCTGATTGTTGGTTTCATTGTTACAGGACAGCAAAATACATATAGGTGTGAGAAGTATATTCTGTATCTTGGAGAAAGCAGAGAAGAAATGGTGGAAAAAATTACTGCGTGGAGAGGACAAGACACCACACTACGTGAAAGTAGATTGGGATAAATGGGTGGATGAAGACGAGGATACTGGTATTTTCATTTGGGTTTCTTACTTCATCAATTTAGTGTGTGTGTTTGGAGTAGGAAATCAGTTGATAACTTTGAATTCCACCTCACTATTTGATTAGGTGCTCCTGACCCTGATTTAGGAGGCATGGATTTATCGGTGAGGATCTGCCAGCTTATAGTTTTACTTGTTTGTGATTTTCTGCTTTGGAATTTGTGTTGATTGTTCTAGTTATTGATGTATATTACAGAGATTTGGTGACATGGGAGGCATGGGCGGCATGGGTGGCATGGGCGGCATGATGGGAGGCATGGGTGGCATGGGCGGCATGATGGGAGGCATGGGTGACATGATGGGAGGCATGGGTGGTATGATGGGAGGCATGGGCGATGATGCTATGGGTGATGATTTTGATGACTCTGATGAAGAAGGTAAGATTGTCAAACACATTTGTGTTTGATATGCAGAGTTGGTGCTTCATATGTTGACAGATGTGTTTTGTTAATTGCTATAGTTTTATGCTTAGAAAATAAAATGGTAGCATTGCATTTTTCCCCTGATATTTGTTTTTTGGGTGGGGCTAGGAGTGTGTCACGGGATGGGTAGGTTGGGGTGCAGAAGTATCACTTTTGTTGGAGACTAACATTTTCTGTTGGATCCCTGTGCACTTTTCGTTGGATCCTTGTGCATATGCCAGATTGTGATTCTGCCTCACAATTAACATGCTCAAAGAAAGTTGTAGACTAATATTGTCACGTGAATTATGGGCACGGGATATACTGAAGTCATGAAAATTTTTAGCAACCAAGGGCAGGGGATTTCTTTCATCAATTATGCCGCCCTTATCCGGGCCAATCCCTAGAGAGAGAGAGATACATATTTCAACACCTTTTCATGCTATTCAGGTACAGTAGGGATGAGAGTATGTGTGTGACTGAGTAATAGTGCTAATCCATGTCATCCTATTTCACCTCTTCGTGGTCTGTGCATGCAATGGTTGCTAATCCATACTTTTCAATGTTCGATAGTGGCTCTTCGAGTCTGTCCACCGTTAGATTTTGCTGCCATGCTTTGACTGACTGCATTATGGTTTACTGCCTATTTCCTCTATAAAGTCGTCTTTGTGGTTAGAAATGGAGGAGAACAAGGCTTTTACCAAGTTTGTAGAGTTATGTTGTGATCAGTTCTAAGCTTAAGGTTCTTGTGACCACTGGGCTTGCCTCACCATGGGTGTGTTGTTGTTTTGGCTTTGTGCTGGGAGTTGGTTAGGCATTCCTTCTCACAGTGCCGCCATTCTAAGTCCCGTAGAATATGCCATGGATTTGTGGTGTTCGCTGTTAACCATATATGGTGCAGTTTGCAAATGCCTCAGAGGATAGTTAATCTTGGAGGGGAAATTTCCTGTTGGTTAGGGTTTTAGCTCGCGCGTAGCAGTATGAGAGCCTATAGCCAGTGGCGGAGACATGTTATGGCCCCCTCAACATTTTGAAATTATATATTATACTCCTAAAATTATGTTTTGATCACATTTTTTGTCACTCAAATTCTTAAGATTATAATTTATACATTAAATTATAATAATCTTGAGATCCTCCCGACTATTGATTTGACTACGTTTAACCATTAACTATTGAAATTGTTACATTTTGCATAAATCTTTAAATTTTGGTATTGTATAAAAAATTGTAAATTTTAGATTACTTTAAATTATTAATAGTACAATTGATTTGACTTTTACATCTAATAATTCAACTAGTTTCGATTAACTTTAGTCGTTTTATTGAAAATAATAATTACACTGTATTGTATAAGATTGAGCCTTATATGTATGTTCTATGCATGTAAATATCATATCATTAACGATGTCATTGAATGATCTACACTGAATAAAAATATCTTGTTATATCACTATTTGGCCCCCCTCTGGCTATAGGCTCTTTAAACATTTCTTCATGATCCTGCCACAACTGTGGTGTTCTTGGGCATTGCCAGCTGTGGAATTTGGTGTTACTGGTGATTATTGTTTCTGGGTATTATACACACCCAGCTTTTAGTTACTGGGTTAAGCCCTGTTCGATTTTCTTGTCTGATATTGTGGTTTTTCCGTAAGTTAAGAAAAGGCGCCATCCTTTATAGTTAGGTCATTTTACACCTGGTTGAGATGAAGTAGCAGGTTTCAGAGGGTTGTTATCAGAAGCTTAGATTTTACGTGATTTTGACATCTCCACCCCATGTGGAAAAGAAAGAGGAACCTGATGCTCCAGTGGAATACAAGACTTGGTTGAGATGCATGTCAGAGAAGTGTGACAGTAGAGCATCGCTTGAATCAATTTCATGGGCTTCCCCTCCCCTCTTCAATAAGTATACAAGTATTTATGCATATGCCTCTCTTTTATCCTTTGGGTGAAAAAATGATGTTTGTCTTCTGCCACTGTAGATCAAGAGATTGCAAAGCCTGAAGAAAAAGTCCCTGTTAAAGCAGGAGAGGAGGGAAGTGCAGAAGCAGCAGTGGCAAGCACATGAACGTATAGTTCGAGATGTTGCAGTATGCCTTAGGCTTTAAGCTTTGGCATTTGATTAAATGGCTTGAGTGGTTGAATCAAAGCATACTTTTTCTAACAGAGTGAAGCTTGATTTCACTCTAATAGTCATGTTGGTTGGTATTCTCCTGTGCCCAATCAACTGAGACTAATTTTCTATCTTTTAACTTGAATTTGGCTGTTGTATTTTAGCCAGTTTCTGTGGATGTTAGTCGGAAAATGATTTCTGTTCGAAAAATGTTCGTCATATCTTGCCTGCCATGAATATGCAACTTTTCTTTGTGCGTTTGGTATTCTTGCAACTATTAAAGCATGCGTGGTGTAGGAGCTATCTATTTGTGTCAATAATGCAACCTGTGCTTTCGAAACCATTTCCGATATAATAAAGGTGGGGCAACGATGTACGTATGATTGAGGGGGTGAACCAGGTTTTGCAGCTTCACAAGTGCTCGACTCGAATGACTCGAGAATTTATTTCGATTTCAATAGAACTGATTAAAGTATGTTTGACTTTAGTGGTCAAAACAAAGCAAGGCGCATGAATTCAGATCAAATCCTCCTGATCAAATTAAATCTGGATTTAAATGATGCGTATAATTTACAAGTGAGTTATGCGCATTTGAAGTATAAGTAATGAGTCTCAACAAACAATTTTTTGCAACAAAAAAGAGGAGCAAAATCGTCCAATTTATAGTTTCAAACGTTTAACTTAAGCATCATACAACAAAAGGGACTGGAAACATCCGTCAGGATGACTGCAAAGGGATAATCAGCAGTTGTCATCCTCATGATCTGGCTGTTTCGTCAAAACGAGCTTGCAACATATAAACCAAAATACAAATTTCAATAACACTTGAAAGGCAAGTCCTTCCATAGCAACACACAAATATTCTATCCAAAATCAACCCTTCCCCTCAACCGAGCCAACTCGACCAATTGGTCAAACTTAATACGGAAGTCCTTGAACACGGGAATTGTCAAAAGGCAATGTTCAAGAATGTCACTCCACGGACAAGCCAAGCCAGATGCATCTTTACTAGAAGTAGCAAAAACCAGCCTTCTACTTGTATCACCTTCTACATGCATCATCGGCCTCGTCCTCCACCTGTCATCAAATCCATAGTCTATTCACGACACAGTAAGCAGATCACTTAAATGAAGGAGCTGATAACGCATTCCTGTTTGTGTGGCAATTATAAATGGTGACTGCAAAAGCAAAGGTGTAGTGGATGGATCTACATTGAGCCTATTATTCAGACATGATGCTGCAACATTTTTACATGAGATTGCTCTAAATATCAAAAAGTCAGATAAGTACGATCTACCTCTGTTTCCAGCAATCCTTCCACCAGCCCCACCCCTGCCTCGACCTCCACCTGTGCCTTTAGCACCTCCATCATCTATGCCACGGCCAATCCCCTTTGGTTTAGGGCCATCTTCTCTTCCTCTACCTCTTCCGCGCCCTACTCCAGGTGGCCTCCTATCTGAAAATATCAAGTGACCAACGCAACCAGTCAACTACAGAAAAACTACCACTTTTTTTGGGATTTGTGTAGGTCCAAAAATAAACACAGGAGACATTTAACATGAACAATGAGAACTACAAAGCACATTTAATCTACATAATAAAACAGAGGGGAGTTTAAAATTTTATCCCTATACATTTTCCCCCCTAAATCCATCACATCCCATCATCTCTCTCACCATCACTCACTGTTAGAGAAGCAGTGCCGTCCTCTCATCTTTTCTTTTTTTTTTTGACCTTCCTTCTTTCACTCTTCTCTCTCTCTGTTATGCTCGCCAGCAAGAGAAACCATCACCCAACAAGAGACAACACCCCCAGGTATCCCTCTCTCTCTCTCTCTCACACACACACACACTGAACGTACCCCCACGCAGCTCTCCCCCTCCTCTGTTTCTCTCTCTCACTCTCTCACAAACACAAAGGCACCCCCCAAGCTCCCCTTTTGCACAGAAACCCCCCCCAACCCAGCTCTCCCCCTCTCCCTCCTCTGCTTCTCTCTCTCTCTCACATGCATGCACAGACGCAACAATGTGTGTGTGTGTGTGTGTTCTAAAGACAGCTTTTTCACAACATTCTGTTTCAAAATCTATTGCAGCATTTGTTTAAACTGGGAGCTTTTAGGACAAGTCCAAGCAGCTTGAACATGAGTTGATCAACATCAAAATCATTGTTGGGAGTCATCAACAGCTTCTCGCCAGTGAATATGGAATTTTCCCGGAAAGAAAGCACAATGTTTGCAAATACCACACACACACACACACACACACACACACACACATAGAACACAAACTCATACACACTATTGGATTTTGTTCAATTTGAATTCTGTTTGATTAGGTTCAATTTAGATTTGTTTTGATTAGGTTCATTTTGAATTCGGTTCGATTAGGTTTAATTTGAATTTATGAACTCGGTTTGATTTGGTTCAATTTTAATTTGTGAATTCAGTTGATTGGGTTCAATTTGAATTCGATTTGATTAGGTTCAATTAGATTTGTGAACTTGGTTTGATTATGTTATTTTTGAATGTGGGGTTTTGTAAGAAACTTTGATTGAACAACTATAATTATAGGTTCGATTTGAATTGCATATGTATTGATTGAACACCCTCTCCTTCAACCACATACTCTCTTGAATTTTGTTTAGTTTAATTTTGAGAACTTGGTTTGACTGCGTTCAATTTGAATTTGATTTGATTAAGTTCAATTTGGATTTGTGAACTCGGTTTCAATAGGTTCAATTTGAAATCATGTTAATTTCGGTTTTATTGAGTTCAATTCTTTTTTTTTTTTTTGCTTCAATTGAATTGGAATAGGTTCGATTCAAATTGGTTTGTGATAGTGTCATTGATACGGTAACTTTAGGTTTGATTTGTATTGGTTTTAGATGGTATATTGATTTCAAGTTCACTTGGGATAAGTTGGGTGATTGAGTTGAATGGTAGTGGTGAAATGTTAATAGAATAATAATTTTGTGTAGGGTAGTGGTGACAAATTGGTGTTGTCGTGTTTTTGGGTCGAATGGTTGAGCAAATTGGTGCCTATGTTGAATTTATAATGATTGTGTTAAAAAATTTGAATGTGGCATTATGTAGTTTGTATAGGGTGTTGGTCAATAGATATGCATATAGTGTGATTAATAATAATAATTTTGAGTAAATAGAGAGGTCTATCAAATTTTTTTATTATCATGTAACATTTTTTGATTAGTTATATTAGATGGTTGTTTTAATGGTTCTTTGTATTCTATATCTTTTTTTGTAGAAAATAGAGACTATTAACTTTTGAATCAATATATAACTTTTGATTAAGGTGTGTATAATTACCCTGTGAAATTGCGTTGCACTTGATACGCTAGAGAAACTATCAATCAAAAGTTCAAAATTAAACTATAGTCACACAATTTAAGAATTTAAACTAAATTAAAATTTTCCTTTACCTCTAGGAAAAAAATTTCTTTATTCATCACAATTTTTGCTTAAAGATAATTATGACTACAATACCTATTACAAAGAAAGTATGCTTGCTTTACTTTGTCGTCGTTAGTATATTTAGCTTAATGGGCATCTATGTTCGTTGCTTCATTGTTTTATGTTCAAAATCAATGATTTTATGTTGCTTTAAATACTTATTAACATGAATTAACTGATTTCTTTTTTTAATTTTTTGTGTTTATTGTTTTTGAGTTGCATTGGTTTTGTGGGTTTGATTTTTATTGAATTGAACTTTTTATAACATAAGAGCTTGGTTTCTCTTCTTTCTATATTGATGTACCATCATTAGTGGTGTGTGTCAAAATATCCAATGTTGCGGAATTAGGAGATGCATAAATGAGTTAATGGCTACATTGAAGATTTTTCATTATCACTACTCACACATGAATTTTGGAATTATGTATACTGGGTTGAAAATCGACAATTGAGTATACGGTTTTTATTTTTCTTCTTTGATTGTGTTCACGAGTTCGATTCTTTTGAATTTCACCGTGTTTTCTGACACGGGTTACCCCTAGTATACATATAATTGAACTAAACCTCCGACCAAGCTCATAGGCCTGACAATATCATCATTTCAATGCAAAACATGATAATCATCCAGGTTTTTCAGGACAGTGCACAAAACCATGATCTTCAATAACTAAACAAATTTCATGGTAGCAACTAATTTTAGCCAAGTCCTTGAAAAGGATGTACAAACTGTGGTTTTCAAAATATGTTATTTTCAAAAGCCAAGAATCTTGATCGATCTCACAGAATTCTGTAAACATCAGGACAAGAAAGACAAGTATTTACCAGAACGGCTCTTGGTCTCTTCTTGAACTTTATCAATCACCTGAAAGTTAAGAAATATATACAAATTCAGGTAAAAACATCAAGGAAAACAAATCAGTTAGATAATATAGGTCAGACATTCAAAGGAAAACAAAATACGATAGAAACTAAAACCCCCACAAAAAAATGTAAGAAACACAAGCTTGACAAAGGATGGCTTTAATGAAAATCTCTCTAGGAAAATTAATTCTATGGAAGTGTTGGATCTCACAATCTTGGGACCCCAAAAGTAAGAATAAAACATAAGATACCGAAGCAAGAAATGATACAGTATTTTTTTGAGTTCAAAGCATTTGTCACAGTAATAAAAAAAAAAAAGGAATATTCCATGTTTGACACACAACATTCTACACTAGTAATAATATATGGTATTCCATGTAACAACTAATCATCCCAATAAAGCATAATGGAGGAAAACACACTTCCTTTCACAAAAGCATAACAGCATGTTCCTTCATCCTTCAAAAAGTAAACAACACAGACAACTAAGACAATTGAGTGGATCAATATATGATTTGAACTAAAGGGGCATTAAGCATACCTCATCAGGAACTCTAAGATACTTAATCGTATTCCCACGGATGTAACATTCGGGCATCCTCCAAAATCTATCTCCATCCTAGATTTTGTATACAAATGAGACACCATCATGACTTTCAAAAGAAAGCAATACATCATTTACAAACACAAATGCACATTTATCAACATACATATTATGATCAACAAACAAAAATATGAGGAATAACCAGTGATGCAAGGACAACAGACCTTAGAGGTACATATGACTTCACGGAGATGGATGTTCATCCAAGTATCACAGTTAACCAAATGTCCATTGTAGGTCTCCCCATTTTTCAGTTCCACCAACTGTCGCAACACAGAACCACTAAAAACATAAGCAATTGCAACCAAGTATGAACTTGTGCCACATTACACCATAACTTTGCGCCAACGTTAGGCTAGGCCTGTTTCGATATAGAAAAAACAATATTCCAAATCAAAAGTTTTTTTTTAACTAGACAAAATACAAGGAAACAGAGCTGGAGGAAACATGAAATAGACCAATTCATGTGACAAAAGTGTTGGTAAACATGGTACCATAGGGTGGCCTTGTGCTGTCTTGAGTAGAGAAAGAGGAAGCTGCAGCACCGAACGATTGACTGAGTTAATAAAAAACACAAATCAAACTTTGCGATCCAATAAAACAAAAGACCCTAAAGAATTAGCTCATCAAGTATCATACCATGTTCTAGGGCACAGAAAGCGAACGTTGGCAGATTTAGTAGAAACCTACAATTCAAGAAGTATCAAATATAGTATGGAACCTCAACACACTGATAATACTTTACGATGTACGGTTCATCAAAACCCTAGGTTCTGATTACCCTAGGTTCTGTTTTTAACCTACACACTGGACTGAACTAATTTGTTTGTAAAAAATCGTAAAACAAAAAACAAAATTCATAACCAGTTGATCAAGAAGAAGAAAGAGAGAGGAATCGTTCGATCTATCGTTACCTGAAGAGATCGACAGCGTCCGGCTATGTGTGTTTGTGGCTCTCCTTTCACTGGCTGAGGAATGCAGATGGTAATGTATTCTGCCGAGTATATATACTCGAGTCGGTTCCATATCGTTACATTAAAATATGTAATTTGTTTTAAGGGCTAATTGTTTTATTTTATTTTGGTTCTTACTATTTTAATTGTATTATTTTAATTTTTGAAATATTAAAAATATTTCTATGTGGTCCCTCATCAATTAGCATTCAAATTCCTAATAATTTTTTATCATAAATTTATCGCGTAATACCTAAATAAGGACAAAAAATAATTGGTGAAACTATTCATACCCTTAAATATTTTTTTCTACCTCATTTAATACCCTTATTTTAAATTATTAAGTTCGTTCTATCTATTGACAACTTATTTTGAGGTGTTTTGAAATAATTCGATATATTTTCACCAATTTTTTAGAATATTTTGAATTGTTTTAAGATATTCTAATATTTTAAAAATAATTATTAATTTTTATTTTATTTTTGAAATATTTTCGTATTAAAATAATACACCAAAACTAAATTTTAATCATTGCTTATATAGTAGGTTAAAATAAAATTGAATGAATTTAATTTTTAATTAATGAATAGAGATGAGATGTGTTTAGTAGTTAATGAAGTGAATATAGATGGGGTGAGCTTAATAACCCACTCACAAATAATTTGTGTAGCTTTTCACCAACATTTAGATAGTTTTTTGACAAAAAATGTGTAGCTCTTTACCAAAATTTGCATAGTTCACGATCAAAACTATGTAATTTGGATAGTTATTTAACAAAAAATTCAAAAAAAAATTATCAAGAATTATTTAAATTATTTTTTTACCCATATTTAAGTATTATATGACAAGTTCATAATAAAAAAATGTTAATAATCTAGACGTTGTCTACTTGAAAAACCACATAGAAATATTTTCAACGATTTAGGGACAAAAATAATGCAATTAAAATATTAAAGACTAAAATAAAATAAACTCTTTACTTTGAGACCTCCAATACAATTAACCCTTATTTTAATTCACCTTTTATTAAAATTAATCAATAAATAATATAAATTTCGTTAAAATTAATATTAAATGATTTATTGATTAAAATTAGTCATTAATTTATCTCATTTAATGATTAATTTTAGTAAAATGATCAATTGAAATAAATTATTATATACTTCATGATAAAAATTCCTATAATTAAATATTTAACAAACAATTTAACATAAAAATATTAATTCACCAGACATTTATGAGATTTACTTATTTGAATTTTAATCTTGGTTCACACAAGATGGACAGTAAGAATATAGACACGTTGCCAAATTATTGGGAAATAAAATAACAACTGTCCCCTCTACTCTTATTTATTTACACAATGGGCTTCAGTTTAGGCCTAGGCTTAGGGGAAAAAACTTCTATACAATAATAAAAAGTAATTAATAATTTTTTGACACCATAGGAAAGATAGATGCGATCAATTTAATTTGACAGCTTAACAGGATTATAAGAGACTTTAAAAGATTAATTAAATTCTTAATTCCATTTTAAAGTATTAAAACTTTTATCAAATCACATAAAAATATGATGTATTTTAACAAAATTGAATTTGAAATTTTTATATAAAATACTTAAAATTGAGTAATAAAAAAATAAAAAGATCATAACCGAAGCCTTAGCTCTAATGGCGCATGTCGTTAATCCTTAGCTCAGAACTGGCTTTCATTCAGAAAGAGTTCAATTATTTAAACAGATCAGCTATAGACCATCAGGTGTCGTGTCGTGTCGTGTGATAACTAACACAGTGAAGGTCTCCGGTTCAAACCCGGGCGACGCCATTTTTAATTTTTCCAATGTCACCACCCCCTTCTGGCAGACATTCAATTTTGTTTGCTCATAACTTCATTCATTTTGGTTCCGAGTGCCTTTACTTATTCGTAAACATATCCTGAACATTCTCTCTCTCTCTCTCTCAGTGTGACATACCCAACAAAATATATATGCATTACAGCAAATATGTTTTTTTATGGAAGTCAATTTAATTAACATTTTGTGCTTTTCTTTTTAGATGTGAATAAAAGAAAGACTAGTTAAATATGTGTTAGCAGCCAACACATCTCATCATGCCAGCAACATTCTTCATGCTTTCTTAATGGATATCGTCCAAAGAAGATCAGAATCAGATCGCACAGTTACTATCCCTTCTTTAACAATATTTGATGTACTCACCAATCCACCAAATCTCATTTTTGTAGCACCTGAACAGACATAATGTCATATGACGTGTACCATACTTGATAATAAATGACAAACAAAAGAGAAGGCGCCATATGATGATCAGTGGCAAACAAAGGTTTAAGCAGTGTAACTAGGAAAATGAAAACAAGGGTATCATAGGATTGGGGTTTGCTTACTCAGATTCCACTGGAGCCCAGTTGTTGTGGTACTTTCAGAAGGCACGCCAATTGGGATGAGTCCACAGTGTGGTCCCTCAACAGAGGAATGGACATGGATCTCATGATGATAAGTACTTGGAAGAAGGTGTATGAGACTATCATCAGATAAAAGAATTATTCGCATGGTTGCGAAACGGCATACAACATTTATATTTCCAACCTCATGGTCAAACCTCCCACCGAGTGCTCCGGCAACAAGAACACACAGCTGCAATTTAAATAAGCACAAGAAAGGAACTAAAATGACGATCTCTGCATGCTCATAAAATACTATCGTCTACAGGATTTTCAAATGTTTATAAAGAAATCTTATCCATTTCCAAATCCCCCTCAATTCGCAACCAATAAGAAAAGCAGTCCGCCAAAAGTTTCAGTTAGTTGCAAAATTATATATCACAATTTTATTTTGCCACTGTTTTAGCATGCCTATTTGGCATGTCACCTATTCAATTGTTCAAATATAACCACATATCCTACATGTGATATGTGAGCTGATGTAATTCGAAAACATAAGCACTGATTCAAGACCGTCAAAAAAGGGTTTTCATCACCAATGGAAGGGCAAATCTTTTGAGAATGAATTTTTAACATAGCCCTGCAAGTTTAACCGAACAAAAACCCCAAGTCACATAATAGCTAGATTTAGACCAAGATCTCAATTGATTTTGTTACCAGTAAAAATTGGAGCCCATTAATGAAGTTACGCTTCATAGGAATGTTTGTATCCACGCAAATCAGACCAGAAACCACATAAATGTTATTTGTCTTTATTTGAATGGTATATAGATGAAGTGCCAAAGGGGCAAACCAGGAGGGGTAAAATTGAATTTTGAAAATTTGAGCGCACACCAATTTATATGCAGTAGAGCTCCTGAAAGGTTAAATATTACTCACATTTGACTTGTCCAAGTCTGGCATTAAGTCACGAATAAATGCAATACATTTATGTAGATCTGTAGTGTCCTGATCATGAGATTCGTCAATAATCCTGGTTCCCTGCACTTAATAAACGAGCATAAACATCCTAAGATATGACGTTAATTGAGCACCATAACCGGACATACTGACCAATGACTTCAACATGAAAACTGTCAAATAAACCTCGCACAATTCTTTTGTCACAATATATTAATCGCCAAAACAATATCAACTTTATACATGCTCAACCTCTGTAATGTTATATGAGTACGCTATAAAGCTTCTCTGATTCGTTTACCCTTATAAATAGAAGCCCAGCACTATCTAGATAGTGGCTATTCATGGGCAGGTCAATACTTCCATCCGAAGGACAAACCATGGAGTTTACACAATAAAATCACTCTCCCACAAAATGTGGTCAATCTTTTTGTGCTTTCGGACTACTTAGTTGCTCGGAGACAATAAATTAATATACTTCTAGCACTTCAATGAAGTTCATATACTTCATTTTACCAACTAAGAATGTTGAGGTTGTACAAGACTTAAATTGACCAAACTATCATTCTTTACATTTGACTTAATTTTTTCAAGAATCTTTTGGGCATACATAGCCATAAACCAGATCATATAATTCCTCAAGTTGTATATCCAAGTAAGCCACCAACCTCATCCACACCCCACTCAAAGCATTCTCTCTACCGTATCTGATAAATCTGACAGGAGAAAATCTTTAGGTAAATTTTTTCCATTCCATGCACTGCGCAGGCTTTCCACTTCTATTAAATATAAACCACCAATTTGCTTCTTACACTGGAAAAAAATGGCTTAATGTGGATAGTTTGTCTTTACCTCTCAAAATAAATGAAGCAACAAAAATTCAAAAAACAAGAAAGAGAATAGTTTGTCTAAATTGTCTTCCATCAGGAAGAAAGGAAAACACTCGATCCATGGAGTCCGTCTCACCATATGCTTCCTCACACACGTTTAGAATCTCAAATATGTTTTCGGAAAGCTCTTGAGTCGAGGCTTACTCTCTTCAACCAGGTTTTTTTTTTATTTTTTCACCCAGATTGTGCTGGTTTTTTAGCTTTTGGGAGTTCATTTTAAGGGAAGGAAGAAGGACTGTGATCAAGGGTTTGGCATTGAATGCAAGGATCTGGTTTCCAATCATATTCAATAGCTCGGTCATAACTTCCATCGTTGGTATCTATGGTGAAAGTTAGGCCAGACCAGAACAAACAGAGGAGAAGGGGAAGAGGGAAGGGGATGGGGATGGGGATGTACATCTGAATCAGTAGCTAATATTGCATAAGTCCAGCAACACACACAAATTTGTTTTAAGAAAGTTGTGGTTTGCAAAAAATCTTCACTATGAAAGATGTTCTCTCCCAACAACTTATTCGTCACGCATACAACATCATGTGAAGAAAACCATCACCAAAGAATCTTTATTACTTTTCAAGTGACAAGAAAGGAATATTCATCTATTGAATACTAAAAGTACTGAATTTGTTGTATTATGACCAGGTTTTCTCCTACCAATGAACATCAATTCCCAAAGTTACTCATCTCGTGAAAGTAAAAAAAGAGATCACAATCCCTAAAGGGCTTTGAACAAGCTATCATCAAGTTAAAATCATGAAAACATTCCTAGCAAACTAAAAAAATGAAAGATGATTTTGCAAAAATGTATGAATAGTTTACCAGGTTTGCATAAAAATCCCGCACTTCAGTTCTAATGGAGTCCATGTCACCTTTTATTACATCAGGTTTGTACCTGAAAGAAAGCTACAATTCAGCTTTGCAAGATGGGAGTTTAAGGTATGGATCTAAAACACATTCACTAGTAAACACCAACAATACCACACAAATAATATGGTAAAGATAAATTCAAAGGAAGCACTGAGAGAAACAACAATGAAGAGAAAAATGAAGCCCCACAACGAATGAGAGCAAAGGAGACAACTTTGGATTTCAAGCCCTAAAAATCAACTAGACAACGCCATTGAATGCAGCAATAGGTGAGCAGCACGAACAGAAGATGGACATCATCACATCAACGCTCTCCAATTCAAATCATTTAAAACACTTCTATATGTCATTGACTTCTATAACTAAATTGAATAGAATTCTACTTTCTATAATTTTCCATTTAGGCCTTCTATTTACACTGATTTTCCATGAAACAAATGGGAGAGAGAGAGAGAGAGAGAGAGAAGTCGAAATTAAAAAGGATCAAAAAGCCAATAATCGCAAAAACACCAATAAGTGAATATGTATCGGTATTTAATTGCATAAAGATACTGTAGAACCTGTTTCGAACAGCGAAGACATCATCGTAGCGGAAGAGCTGAGGCATGTCGTCATACAAACGATTCGCTCCACCGTCGGCGCAAAGGCGAAGTTGTGCTGCTTTACACAATAACTCACCATCACCACACACTCAAAAACCTCCTCTCAAACAAGCATAAAGAACAAGAGCGTGTTTGAAAAATACCGTGCCGCCACAGGAGAGGAGTGAATCGAGGGAGGCTTTGGTTAAGCACGACAAGTGCGTAGTTTAGAGCGGGGCCGTGGCCGACGATGGAAGCTTTTGGGAGGAGAAAGGTTGAGGAATGAGTCATCAAGCCCATGGCTAACTTGCGCCTTCTGCAACACCGACGTCACTCCACGGACAGCGAGGGGGAGATAGGCAGACCTCTGGTTTCTGCTTTGAATCTTTCTCGGAACCATTTATAGAAGAGGAGATGGGTTGTCGGTCAAGCTTTTAAGTCACGTCAAAAGAGATTAGTAATTAATCCCCACGATACTCGGAAAACAGTAAAAATATTGTAAAAATTGAGGGCGAGTAATAAATTGAGTTTTAAAAAAAAAAATATTTAGAGATAAATTTATGTTTAAACTCATATATAAGTGCTTAAGTGTACTTATTTTTAAACCTTAAAATTACCCAATAGTGTTACTTTTATTCAATTATAAAAAGTCACATAAATTAAATTATTGAGGTATATATGGACTCTTGATTTAGTTATATATGAAAACGATTTATTAAATATTATGATAATTAACGAGTTATATATTTTGATAGTTATATACAGAAAATTTAATGTACGAATAAATTGTTGGTCTATTAAGTCAAAATTATATCATAAAATTTATTTAATAACAATAATACATAATATAGAGATGTTGAACAATGTCAACAGAGTTCAGCAACACGAATGTTATTATATAACATTCATGTTATATAATAACATTCATGTTATCATATTATTGAAGTTACAATTATGGTCATATTACCAGTACAGTCGTGTTACTATACTAATACTAATTTTACTACAGTGAATTTTAACATATAATTACAAATCTTGAAACGTATATTATGTAATATATACACTTTAATATTCATATTAACATCAAAGTTTTGTGTTCAATAACACATCTAATTTTATAAAATACAAGACAATAATTTTTTTATAGTAACATCAATTTTGAATGATTTTATTGAAAATACAACCTACAAATTAAAATTTTACAAAATAATGAGTAGTAACACACAATCGATAATTGAATTACGACACTCAACACCAATTATGAAAATCAAGATATTCAAATTTTGAACTCCATTTTTCGGTTCACATACAGTAACATGAATTTTTTCCACAGTAACACAACTAAAGAATACTCGATTATTTTGCGCGACAAAATCGAAATCTATAATACTTTAATTTAGTACTAATGTATGAGTTCTTTTCAATCTTGGTTACAAGGTTAATGCTTATTTTGATAGAATTAAATTTGTAATTATTTTTATTATTTTGAGAGCATGTTATTATTTTTTTGTGAGCATGTTACTATTTTTTTAGTGATCATGTTACTGTCTTTATTGAGTATGTTACTATTGTTATTTTTTAAATATTAATATTTTATCGATTGAATCCAAAGTAAATTGGAATAATAAATTGAAATTATATTTTTATAGAATGTAATGAATTTAAAATTTGAATAAGAACAGTTTTAAGTAAATGCCGGTTTCTTATTTTTTAAAATAAGGAAACATTGTGGCTTGGAAGATTATAGGCCGATTTGAATGCGATTATAGAGGAGATGTATATGACTGGTTATTGTGTTCATAAACGCTGTTTACAACATTCTTACAGGGAAGAGGTATAATAATAACATTGACAAAAAACAAACTTAAAACCAAATAAGTTCTCTTGATAGACTTATCTCCAAATAACTTTATATAGGAGGACCGACCTCTAAATTTCTTAAAAATATTAGGTGTTTATAAGTTTGGGAACTTCTACATTGCCGCTGGATAATGCTACAAAAATTATAATTTTTAAATTAAGTTATAATTTTGTAAGCGTAAATTATAATTTTAAAATACATGATCGATTATGGGTGTCTATAATCGATACTAACCTCTATTGAACAATTATAACTTTACTATATAAAATTATTACAGACGGTACCGATATCAAATTTTTTTTGGGGTATCATATGACAATGCCATATGATATTTATATTTAATGAAAAATTATCATAATATTTATTTGTTAAACATATAAATTGATTTGTTAAAAAATTAAAAGCTTTATAAATGGCAATTGATTGACAAATGTACATTATTTTATTGGTAATATACAACATATGATGTTGTAACTTGGCTTTGGATAATTAGGAGTGAAAAAATATGATACAACATGAAATTAGAGAAAAATATTATTTTTTTATGCCATTCAGAGATGGAACTATGAAGAGGCCTACGGGCATGCCCCCCCTCCCCCTCCCCCTCCTAAAATTTTAAAAATTTTCATTATTTATAATCTATAATATAAAATAGGACAAACTTCATCAAGGTCATCTGATGATCTCAAATAGACTCATTCAATAATTACCAACATTCAATTTCAAAACTATTTATATTGAATCGTGCCATCAAGCACAAATTATCCCTAGGCCCCCTTATATTTAAAAAAAAATTGATTGTTAACCTCTAACTTTTCAAAACATCCAACATGTAAGTATCACACCTAGTCTATTCAAAAAGATCAATGATTTAATATATAATAACCATTTAAAATGTATCATATAGACGAGTGTCTTTTGTACCAACAAAAACACTTATTAAATTAATTTGATAATCTAGAGAAGAAAACAAGTGACTTTTTTTTTTATTAAATATATAATTTATATAAAAAACAGTTAATTGACTTATAATTCATTTTTATTATGATATCATATGAAATTATTATTTGCGACTTTGATTTATTTATAGACATAATTACATTACAAATAAGACAAAAAAGAGAGGAGATTATCACAAATAAATTTTTATGATGGCATAAATCATTTTTGAGTTTTGTGCTCAAAAATAAATTTTTCGATACCTTTGCATAAAAATTAAATTTAATAAATTTTTTTAAATAAAATTTATCATTGACAATGACCGTAGAATAAATCTATTAAATTAAATTTGTCTATGTTGTGGTTAGCTCCCCCTAAAAAACCTGATTTTGTTCACTCATTTCGTAAGTAAATTGATCTAATACGATATAATACTATCTAATATTAGCAGTTAAAAAATTAAATTCTCAACTTATAAAGCACAACAACGGTCTCAAGTCTAACAAATACCCATCGGATATAAGCACATGATCGTGGACACTTTGGTCAACATATCTCACAACATATCTTACAGGCAAGTTTGCAATTATGCCAATGTTAAATGGTAAGGACAAAAATACATGCATAAAGCTGAAAGGAAATATAATAACACGTCTAAACAACAATACATGTTTACAATCCTCTATAATTTTCCCATCCCTCTCTAACACAGCTCCACCACATCCACCAAATTTACAGTTGCAACAAATATCACTCACTCTTTCTTAACCCACTATTTTTCACTAATAAGCATATTCAAAATTCTACTACGTCAATTCCTTCTCAGAAAAGGGTTTTTTTTTTTTTAAAAAAAAAAACAGGCGAGAAATAGATGCTTATTGAACTGATGACATTGTGTATGTACAGACGGGAGGGCTGGTTGAACGAAAAAATTGGGGAGGCGAGATTGAGAGTTAGTCTAAAGCTTGTTATGGATGGGAACAAAACATCCAAAACTACGAATGATACACAATGATACACAAGGGCGGGCTCCAAGGGGGAAACCAATCTGAGGTAAGAGGAGCCTGCGATGGGAATAATTCCCATGAATACAGTCCACTTTACACTGGCTATAATTCAATGGTGAAAAAAGGACAATATCTAATTAAGAAATGCTATACACTTGAGGATACCTTCTCTACATGAAGTAGCTCAATGATCTCTTTTTCCTTGAACCACCTTCTCCATATAGTTCATTCCATTGAAGGAGCTCATTCATATTTGCAGATTCTGATGACACACTTGCACATACCTGCATAAAATCAAAATGTGATAAGCCATACCATATTATAAGACATCAAACCACATCGAAATTCTTCCATAATTCTATTTTCAAATGATAAAAATGAAATAGCCAAGTCTACCGAGTTTTTAAGAAAAAAAAACCCTGCTCAGTAACAGTGAAATAAGTGAATATGCAGTTGTTATATAGCCGGTCATCTATAATGCAAAATTTATAGACATTTTGATTGTACAACATATTTTTTTATCACTAATCTGCAGTTGTCAGGTGAGGCCTTCTGAAACTAACAATGCTGTACAGGCAGGCAACAAGCTCACTTCAGCACTCGAAAAAGCTTCAGATTGAACCAAAAAGCAAAGCTCAAAAATATTGATTAGCCTGAAATTAAAAATAGAACCCAACTCAAGCTGAAACAGGAAAAAAAAGGCTTGAACGCCCTATTCTCGGCTTTCTTGCACACTCATCATTCTGCTCTAACCCCCCCTTCCCTTTTCAAATCCAAAGACCATCTTTCAGCATGCGTACAATCCAAAACATAACAAAATGGTGCCTTCAGTATTACTTATCTACAACATTCCATTTATCTTCATGACAGCACATGATCCCCTATACAATCACGTATGACTACAACTAGGTGGAATAGAGGAAACAGAAATTCTTGATGTTTTCTGTTGCCATTGATTTTAGCTGTTCATGTGTGTATTTAAGATCATCTTCATGGTTCAAAGTCGCGGTATCGGTCATCAACTCGGAGGACACTGATACACATCAATAAAAAATTCTGAAAAATATAAACATCATCATTCATGTATCATATGCCCATAATAAATCCAAAAACACATTAAACATAATTAAAATGAAACATAAGGGTGTTACCGAAAATATTGATCATTATCAATATTCAACTTATTGAAATTGAAATATTGATATATCTAATTATTACATTAGATTTAAAAAGTACTGATGTTTTTTAGGATTAAATAATATTGATATTTTTTATTTTTAAAAAATATTGATGTATTTAATCATTACATTAAATATTTTAATGATTTATCAAAGAGTAAAATTACTCCAAGTAAATTTTGACAAAAAGTAAACTCAAAAATCAATTACTCATAAATAAAAATAAATTAACCACACTAAAATAAATTAAAAAAATTAAAAAATAATGGGAGAATTACACCCAGATCTTCTGAGGTTTGTCACTTAATTACTCAAACCCCCTGACAAGAAAATATAATTGTATACTAATTATAATTTTTTAAGAAAAAATTGAATTTTTATTTTTAATTTTATTTCAATAAATGATACAATAGAACATAAATTCATTTAGGGGGTCTGAATATAATTTATTTAGGGGGTCGAAATATATGTTTACACACTTTAGGGGGTTTGAATATAATTTATTAACGGATATATTTACAACCGTGCACACAAATTTTAGGATTTTTGTGTAATATTTTAAATGTTAGGGGTCTAAATAAATAAATAACAAATGTCAGGGAGTGTGGATGTAATTATCCTAAAAACAATGGAGTCACCGACAACAGAGTCTTTAAAAGACTCTGTTTGAGACTTAGGTCCTGACTCCTGAGTTCAGACGCTATGTATCGATCGCGAGAGAGAGAAGAATCAGAGAGTGGATTCGAAGAACCCCCATCGATCACTGGAAGACGGCCAGGGCTAGAGGTATGTCATACAAATGTTTATAATCTTTGTAAGTTTGTGGCAATGAGCATTTCATTTTCGGACTGGTTGAGGGCTTGTAACCTTTTACAGATGTGGGATTTGAAGTTCTTCATCTTTTTCTTTTTTATTTTAGATTCTTGCTATTTGTTCGAGTTTTTGGGGATTTTCCACAATATTCAATCATATCGGACCGATTCCACTATGAATCGTTCGATTCATACCGAGTTGCTACCGAGTTGCTCCGATTTGTGCCAATACATCCGAGTCTGGCCGAGATATCGCCGAATCAAATGAAAATTGAGATTTTTGCATAACGTGTATCGATATTGGATCAGTAGGGGCCAAGTCCGATACTTTGAACCATGATCATCTTGGACCTGTGGACCCGGTAACTCTTACCCCTGAGGCTTTCCATTACCTCTACAAATGCTTCTTTTGAGGTTTAATTACCTCGCATCCCTGTTGGGAAGTGAGGGGTTTGCCACCCAAGCTAGACCTGTGGTGGTGGTGGTGCATGCAATATCAAGCTTCAAAATTCCATTCCGCTTTCAACGAAACTGAAATGTGTCGATTATGGGGGAAATCAAAATGAATTAGTAATGGAAAATCCAAAATTTCAAGTTCTGAAATGTTTTAGTGTTTTCTAGAATGTTTCGGCCACTGTTTTGGTATCAAAAAATAGATTTTATCTGTGTTTCTGAAATATTTTGGACACATTACCATATTTTACCCAACCAAAACTATTCACCGAAACAATCAAGGATGACCATAACTAGGTGGAATAGAAGAAACAGAAATTCTTGATGTTTTCTGTTGGCTATAATTTTACCTGTTCATGTGCATATTTAAAATCATCCACACTTAAAGGCCGAATGTCCACACTGCTATGCAATGCTGGTAATGGTCTGCTCTCTGCCAATGCCAAAGCTTTCTCCTGGAAATTATGCAATCGTATTACTAAAGACATTAGTAAATGCAAACAAGAAATTTTGACCACAATTTGTACACCACAGTATAAGTTAACAATTGAGCCCAACATGAGAATAATGGTATTAGTCAAACACTGGATGTAAGCAAACTCATGGGAGCTAAATTAAGTTAACAATGGCTCATCATAGAATACCAAAAACAAAGAAGACAATAGCAGCCACTCATGGGCTTTTAAAGTTTCTTATCGATAAGCTCAAACTTCTAATAAGGTTACCCCAGTCCACAAAGTTCTTTTTAAATAAGTATCTCTATCAAGTAAGACACGTGTGCAATTGAAATACAAGAACCTTGGCGTTGCCACAACCAGTGGATGTTCTGCAAGAAAATGACCAAAAGCATCCGACTGGACAACCAGCATGAATTGCAAAGCAGGGTAAGAACTATGGGAACGCAGTAAACTTTAGGGGGCATAATTTATAACAGAACACCACAGATAAGAGGCAGCTGCATGCAAGAGCACAAAGGCTGTCAGTAAAAGAACTCATGAAAAGCTACCGGCACTAAAAGCCATTAATCATTTAAAATAAAAGAGATAATAAAACAAATTTAGATAATTTGAACGCACACTCCCAAGCAAGTCTCATAAATCGTGTCAATATCAATAATGCGTTGACTAAACGACACTGTTTAGGTTCACCGTATATGCACACACACGGACACACAACGTAAATCACACATTTATATAGATTCAAGCAATAACATCAAACTCTTGTTAGAGCTGCCCACAAAGAAAAATGGAATGGTGAAAAGGGAGGAAGAATCCGCAGCAGGAGGGAGAAAAGTTGAACATCAGCCTACACATAAAAGGGGAAAAAAACTGAATGAACCATCCAGAAGGGGGAATTTCTAGTAGGGAAAAACTATACAGTCAACAAATCAGAGTGTGCAGCAAGGGATTTTAACTGAGAATTGTATAAATTACAGAAACCATCATGCAACTAAAGAACCACTAAACTAACCTTCTTCTCCTTGTCCAAAATTTCTCTGATGGGGCAGTGTGCAGCTGTCACACACAGATTCTGAGACAAAAGAAAAAAAATATATTTAAATTCAAGACAATAAGTGAACAATAGGCCACCCCTTTCCGGTTCAAAAACTCCACCAAAGATAAGGAGAAGTTAACAAACCTTCAGATCACTTCCTGAATACCCATCAGTCATATCAGCTACAGCTTCAAGGTCAACATTAGGTGCCAATTCTTCCTTGGCCAATATAATTCTTAAAATTTTTTCTCTGTTCACAGCATCTGGCAGATTTACCATCAATCTGCACCAAATACGTACAAAATAGATAGCCAATTACAGTAACCTTCACACCAACTATATATAATCAGAAAAGAATAACCACAAACCATATGGTTCTTACCTCCGGGGAAGCCTCCTGATGACAGCCTCATCAAGGTCAAAAGGCCTATTGGTTGCAGCAAGTATAAGTACACGCTCCTTATCCTTTGTGCGTAGGCCATCCCAGTTAACCATGAACTCATTCTTCATTTTACGCATTGCTTCATGTTCTCCAGAATTTTCTCGTCTTCCTAACATGCTGTCAACCTGTGATAAAGAACATGTAAGCAGAAGGCATAGAGACACTGGAATATGAACAGAAACAACAGAATCATCCAAATTAAGGCAGGTAAAAAAAACGGGAAAATTAAATAGAAGATATCACCTAAAACAAGAATGGAAAAGTAGACATACATTTGATAATTTGAACAAATGGTTCGCAGACTATTTTACCAACCTCATCAATGAAAATGACACTAGGAGCTATTTTACTAGCCAGGGAGAAGACTGCTTTGACATACTTCTCTCCTTCACCAAACCACTGCAAACCATTTAAAGGTGTCAAGCATTTTCTATAAGGAAGCTGTCGCAGACCTTCTGTGAAGTCATTAGCTAGATAAAAGAAGCACCTTTGAAGTAATGCTCGACATAGATATGTTAATAAAGTTTGCGCTGGCCTCGGTTGCAACAGCTTTCGCAAGCATCGTTTTACCTGTACCAGGAGGTCCAAAGAGCAATATTCCCTTGCAAGGCTGCAAAGAGACTATTTAACATCACAACAATCTAGAATAACCAACTCAAACTCATGATCAACATGCCGAGAGCAATCAACTTTACTTGGGAAGAAAAAGGCATTAAAAACTTTAATCCATTTAACCTTTGTCAGTTGTCCTTTACAAAATAATTCTGGCCTTTGAAGAGGTAGCATAACCAATTCTTTCAACGTATCCTTCACATTTTCTAAGGCTCCAATGTCATCAAAAATAACTCCAATATCACTCGATGGAATGACATCCGAAAGGAGTTTTTTTTCAAATTCATTCTCTGTAACCACATCCTGAAACCTCAAGTGGGCATAATCAAATAATCGATAATACAATAACGACATGACACTAAAGAGAGACGAATATATATCTCCCCATCCAAGTGATAGTCTTACTTTAAGTGACATTTTCAAACTCTTGGTCTCATTTTGCATGCCCTGGAGAGTATCGAGCCCAAATCTAATACTGCAAATTAGACACAAAAAAATGTGAATATCAAAAACGAAAAACCATAACCATATCTCTTTAGTATCTTCTTCTTCCACCCCACCCCCTTCTCATTTTACTTCCTAAATTGTTGGCGACATCAGTCAAAGTAACATGATAACCTTTCTCTGGAAATCACGAGTTTGGTTTTTTTGACCAAAGCTTCAGAACAATGCATAAAATGATGACCTAAAGCCCAGCCAATCATTTTCTCCACACCTGTCAAACCAGGAGAACATCTCCAAATGTCAAAATGAAGAAAAAATATGTCCGAAGTTAGAAACTGCAACTTCTAATTTAAGATCGTACTGACTTTCACTCGTTAAGGCTTGATCTTTTATGCATAACATTTCAAGGTCAGGGCAATCTACCCCAATTCGGTCCAAGACCTGAAATCATTAAAGACAATCATTAGAACCAGAGAGCATTAAGTCGGCATCAGAGAAATCAAACTATTAGAAGGTAGTCTTCCGATGGCCAGCAAGCCAATTATTCTTTTGTTGCCATCATAAATACTTCTAAACAAATCTATGAACAAAAAGGTCTGCAAAAAAATAAAATTCAATTTCATAGATCTTGGAATTGGCCCAAAACCGCTGCATTTTGACTTCACCAGTACCACAACCACATTGTTTTTCCTGCACGATTAAAGTTGGATAAAATAACCCTCTGCCACAACCATCACCTCCACTACATGTGCATTGTGTACATCTCATTCCCAAGTAATATCAAGAACATGGCAAGATACCATCAAGAGGATTAAATGACAAAAATGAAAAAAAAATAATAATAATAAGGCCCATCCCATGATACAGATATGATGCCTCCCTTTGTTGAGACACACTAAAATATAAATAGCATGCATATGAGTAATACGCATGAGTTCTATACAAAGCTCCAACAATATGCAAAAACATAAACAACAGATAGTTCACATATAAGCAACCACAGAAACAAGTACAAACAAAGAAATTAAAGAATCAAATATTTCATATTGCAAGAATTATAAGTTGCGACACGGAGGAAGCTACTCACAGAGTGAATGGTAACAATATTTGATTGTGATTTGAGTGTCCCAATATCCTGATCCAACAGTTGTTTCCAGTCTGAAAGTAGAGTTTCATCCTACCACAATAGGATAAGACGCTGACTACTTTCCCCAAAAAATTTCAAGAAGGCAACAACAAATTGTACACCGATTATTGATTACCTGAGGCAACTGTATATCCACTTTATTTGGGAAAAGGCGGGTGAGTTGCTTCATTGTTTTGGGTGTTTCTTTGCTTTTATCCTGCAATCTAGTCAAACTATCCTGAAAAAAAAAATTAGACATCATCACTTTCTTGCTTCAAGGAAGTAGTGCTTCAAATGGAATGCAAATATTCTGGCCTCATAAGTTTTACATTTGCAAGGGAGAAAATAAGTGCATAATGGAGAAGGTACATGCCGATCGACTGCATTGCAGGCACAATGCACATGATCTTCTCATTGTATTGACAGTTGAGTTAATATCAGAATCTAGTCTTTTAGTTAAATGCACTACAAATAAGAGTTAACAATGTTTCAATGGTAAGGTGGCTCATCAGATAGTCAATCCAATCATTCCTAGTTAAGAAACACCTAGAATACCTTCAAGGGCAGACATACTTTATTATTTCCAGTAGCTTCTTATTTTTCCTTTATTTTAATAATGATTTTTGTAATCATAAGATTATCCTATTACGGACCATCTATACCTTTGTATCCCAAACGACTTACTCCTATTATTTCTCAATACAACTATGTAGTTGTAATTTGTCAACTCCTAATTAAGCCTAAAAGAATTACCTTGTTTAAAAAGAGACAAAATTTCTGCTATAGACTCATTGCATTCATATTTTATAGAAACAAATAGTTTAATTAAGCAAAAACATGACAGGGCTACAAGCTTTACTTAACAGTAGATAAGGAAGAAACACCAAACATACAAAAGCATAATAAGATTAAACACTCAGCACATCAGAAGTCAAAAGAGTGTTGGTAAAAGTTGGCACACACTCAAAACCCTTATAGTCTTAAAGTCCAAGCGAAAAACAAATTCAAAGCACAAAAGCAAGAGCACAGACACTTCTTTCCTTCAAAATGTCACATACACTAACAGGTACCCATGAAAATAGTGTGCGCTTGAGTGTGAGTGTGTGTGTGTGTGTGAGAGAGAGAGAGAGAGAGAGAGTACACATAGTTTTACGTACCGGGAAAGCGAAATCAAGCAATGTTGTCTGGTTGCCTCCAAACTTTGTAAACAGGAGTGCACCAGGATGGGACTGAAAAACATGTGAATTCTACTGTGTCAGGTGTGTAAAATGTGCATATATTTCTTCTTTTGTAAAGGGAGGATGCACAATAATACAAACACAACACCACCAGTCACTTACTTTCTCCTTTGGGTTGTCCAACTGTGTATGGGAAGCGATGACCACAACATTTTGCGGTAAATTTTCAAGCTCATTCTTAAACAATGCATATGTCTCAGGATTCGCCATAGACTTCTCTATGCCTTTAACAAACAAAATTAATGGACTACGTTTACTTCCTTTTGAGGCAACCTATATTATGAACACGCTTTAGATCACAACGCTTGAAAATGAAAAATGGCTGAATTATCAACAGGAAAGCAATGAGTCCAGAATTTACCTCGAAGAGTTCATTAATGGGATGCTTGTCAATATCATCACCATTGGAGCTATCAAGGAGAAGTAAATCAGCTGCATAGCAAGAAATCCAATTTCAACAGGAAGCAAGGGGACATAATAATAAATACAAAGTATTACAACAAACTTTAACACCACAAAATCTTGGTTAAATGATATGAGGGGCAGATAAGTTAAAACAATCACCAGCACAAAAGAAACCATGATCATCTTCACAAAGGCCCCCAAGATTATTGCCTTCCAGAATTGATCTATCAAATCTAACCCCTAGTTTCGCAAAGCCATTTTCTTCAAATGCAAGTAGCACTTTGCCTCTATAACCATAGGCAGGTCCCCTGCAAGACAAACCCAAAGGCGCCCGTATATAATCTTTCATATGAACGCATTAAACCTGAACTCATACGGTTTTAAAAATCCTGTACAAGCAGAGGCAACTTTCAGACAGGAATTGACCACATTAGAACTTATAGCCCTCATCAAATTCCATAATCATGGGATTCAAGTATGACATCTGTGGACTTTAGCATTGGATTAAAGAAATTAGTACAATCAAAGAAGGCAAAATACCAAAGGCACATGCATGGTCAAAAAGCCAGTTCTATTGAGTTTTAGTCCAGTAATTCAAATACGCCAACTCTCCCCTGCTTCATGCTATCCATTTGGAGAGATAAAAAGGGAGTTCCTTCGAAGGGATAGTGGTTCCCCTCCATAAGCTTAACATCTAAGGTTGTGTCCTCTCTTTTTCCATAGGATTAATGTTTCCAAGGCTATATCCAGCACATCAGGCCACTTGAAGGAATATAACACTCCCAGATCGCCAGCACCACATTATGATTTTCCTCTTCAAGATCAGTTATAGTAATAGCAATGCCACTAACTCAAGGCTGAGAGATCTATTTCAAATTCTGGGATACCAAAGCAAGATACAATTTATTTTGCCAATGCAATCACTTCATTTGGATACAAACTAGATTTACATGTAGGGAGCGGAGCAGGGTTGATCAGATAGCAAATCAGATGCCAACTACCACTAACTTAAGTTGGCTGAAATTGAAAAGGTACCTCAAAGGAGTTTGTAAGGGAGACAACCCACATTGTAAAGAGCCCACATATTTTACTCTATCACCTGCAAAGTTGACAATTGATCAAGCAATTATGATATTGGTGTCTGCAAGGCCAATAGCTCAACAAACCCACAAATATCTGCAACATAAAGAAAATGCAGGACACGAGCAGAGACAGGGGGTTTGGGAAGATATGTACACCATTATTATATGACATGAAATGACTAAGAAAAAGGATCAGATACCTTTTTTGAAAGTGTATTTCCTTGATGAGGCAGTAGATGCCTCCTGCTTATGCTGAGCCCGATTGCTTATGGTAGATCCACCGATTATATCAGCCTCAACACTTGAAGCTCGTTTCTTAAGATGTAATACAGCCGTCTGTGCAGACCGTTTCACAAAGATACTTGCTCTTTCAGGCCTTGAACTTTCTTTTGCAGGACTGAATTCCGTGGGAGTTGACCCCTAGAATGATTTTAATGTGTACATTAGGAAAACTAAGAAGCCTCATGGATGTCAAATCCTCCCCAGATATGGATGTAAACATTGCTGAGGAAGGTCTTATGCATTAAGCAGAGTGCGATAATATAAAACGAGAGAGGAAAGGAATAAAGCTATGCAAGAAGCTTACACCAGGCAATAGAAGAGAATCTATAACGAGAAGTCCAGCATCAAAATGTTTAGCAAGTGCCTTGGTCAATGTTTCCTGATATATTTCCGAACCTATAAAGAAATTCGAGAGAAATATACCATACAAGACGGAATCAAACAGGAGAAATAAACACAGCATAAATTTGATGTACCAACAGAAAATGGAGGTAATCTAATACCTGTGGGACCAGATAATAATATTCGCGGATATACAGTAGGGAGATCTAAGGTGTACTTTGCAAATTTACTCCGCTTCAAATGTATGTATGTGGAAGCAATCAGAACATTCTTTGTGGTGTCACTGCCAAAACACCCAAATTCAAATATAACATAAAACCCCAAGCTAAGTTTACTAAATAGCATATATAGCCCCAGTACATCAGATAGGACAGGGAATTCAAGTCTACGGCAAGAACAGACAATAACTGCAATATTTTCAATGATAGCATGAATCTCCAAAGCTAAGAGAGAGTTTTAGGGATTGTCATTTGTTGTCAAAAAGAAAAAAACTGGAAAAATTGATCATGATGCCAGACTAACTTAATCGTCCTATAACATTTCTATTCACTCAAGAGTTTAAGTTCAAAATATTCCACATGCAAATGCAAATATTATAAACAAATTGAAATTGCTTTCGAGTAAAGACGCAGCCAAATTATAAGAAAGCATTAGATGTGGACCACAAAAAGTAGAGGTACAAATATCTTTAGTTGCCTAATATAAGCTCAAAGTATTCACCTTAAATAATATGGAAAATTCTCAAATGAAACTTCGATGTTCTTGGCATCAATTATTCCTTGTTTTAACTCATCTTTAAATGTTTGATGCTTTGCTGATGTCAAAACTGGCGGATCAAAATCCTTGAGTAGTTCTCCACCTTCACTTGGCTCATCAAAAATTTTAGAAATGCTATCATTCAGATCAAAATCTGAAGCAGATGATCCTGCAAGCATCCGCAGAAGAGGCTTCACTTCATGGGTGGCCCCTGATACTTTTCCAATTTCTGCATCGACAGAAGTATCCAGTCCAACGCTATCAAAATTCAAATTTTCATTAGCAGCATCCAGAGAAGGAACAACAGCCTTCTCACTCAACGAAGCACCAGATCTGTCATTGTGATCAGCATCCACGACACCACTATCCCACATTTCACAAGAAGGTGGCGCTGGCATTTCAGAATCCTGTTGCACACCCTCGTCATTTTGAGAAGATGGAGGAATGAGAGGTAACTTATTTTGAAGATTTGACAAAGACGCCAATGTTGATGCTACTGCAACAGCAGAGGGGTCTCCTGTTCTTGCCTCAAGATGCAATCCTTCAACTGGACCACCATGGGCTTCTAATATGGTTACTGAAGGCAGCATGCCAGAAGCAGCTAAGTTATCATTAGCAAGTGGCTGAAAGATCTGATAATACATTAAGGAAACTTATTTCTCATCTATGGGAGTAATGACTAATGAGGCTCAAATCTATATTACACAACAGGGCAGAACTTCATTAATAGCAACAAAAATATACGAAAAATCTCATACTGAACCGAGAAATGTGGCTGAAAAGGATACATAAGCATGTTTCCCACATGAACTAAAAACAACCTCATCGCCTCCATTCAGTGGTACAGTGGAATTTTTAGGATAAACCTTGCCATTTACTTGGACAGCACCTTTTCCCCCGATAATTTCAAGTAAAGTAACGGATGGACCTACTTGCTAAGCATAATAATAAGAAACTTATGAAAATTCACGAATAGATTAGAAATCGGAAACAAAATACTTCATCACAATGTTGGGCATTTCATAAACAAATAGGACAGGTTACCTCTGCATCTATGTGCTTCAGACTGCACAAAACTTTACTAATGGATGGATCTGCCACCCATAAGTCGCATTGACGACCTTGACCAACAGTGAAAGCTGAACCATGCATAACCACATGAGGACTCTGAAGAGAGCAACAAACGAATTAGAGACAATACAAAGTTGATCACAGGCATAATCGTGTCATTTACATCCTAAATAATGAATTCTCCATTCCCTATATAACATATATTAAACAACAAACATAAACTTTATCTAAGATAGCATACTAGTTCAAGTCTCGGAGAGAGAGAAAGAACTTCAAACTTCATTTTCTAATACTCATAAAGGCACAACTTGTCACCCGAGGGAAAAGAAGATAAATTAATTTTCCCCTTCAATAGAGATGGATAGCTATGGAAAGGTCCTATCCATTTAGCAGAAGTGCTTCTGGAATCCTTGCAGTGCCACAACTGAAGCTTATACAAGCTCTTTCTCAATCTTTGAGCTATGGCAAGAAACATATGTTGTCCAGCATTCATTTACATTTGCAAAGCAGAAAACTTCCAATCCCTGCAAATTTGCTCATCATATAAAAGCTTTTCTAAAGGCTGGCCCTGAGGAGTTCAAAAATTCCATTATAGTTGGAAGCATAGGACCAGCATTTGTGCTAGTGGTAGGGTATAACACAACCTGATTCAAGGACACCGCAAGAGGAGTGGGGAGTAATCATTCAGCCAGGGTCAGATAAAGGTTATCAGTAGTTATAAAGCCAATGGAGCCTCGATTTCCCATTACCAGTATCTTTAAATATACCCAACCAATAATTCAGACAACAAATCCACAGAGATAGGTTAAGGGATGGTAAGTTAGCTAAAAAGGGCAGGCTGAAGATAAGAAATACTCCACTGGAAACATGCAACTGTAATGGCAGAACAAAAGAGCACATGCATGCCGAAAAGGAGCTTTCTTCGCCTTTAACAAAAACCATGGACAATAATGCCAATACAAACCGTTCATATCCCCATCCTAAAAGTCATATCCGTAGAAATCCACCCCCTGGTCAGTCAGATTAGATGTCTCTTATCCTTTGACGGTTAACAAAATGCAAGCAAATACATAGTGCTGAAATGTTATCAAACTCAATTCACAACAAGTAGATAGCAACAGTCCCAAAGCAAAAGCCTTCAAGCTTACATCCTGTGCTTTCCCCTTGCATGGTCCATAACTTACTTATTCTTATGGCTCACACAAGAATCATGTCTCCTTCAAAAATAAAATTCATATCTTATTTTGACCTTATGTAAGTCTGTAACTTCACAGAACCTCTTTAATGCAAATATCTTTCTTCATTGGAATTTTTTAGAATGAATTTTTTAGATAAAGCAGACACCCACACCATGGTAGAAGTAACCAATATAACCCTCCAACCAACTCTCATTCTAATGCTGTATCAACTGCAAAGATTGGGGATAAATTGCATTGGGAAATAAAGGAAGGACATTTCAAAGACCAACCGAAGGCAAATTGTCCTGCCAAGGAGGCCAAAGCGGCAGCAAGGGTGGCTCATGAAGGGCGTACACACCTACAATGCCAAATTAAGAAAAGATCTTCTCTAAAGGGGTCGTAACTGAACCTTAAGGAATTTTTTTCCTTGATACCGTCCACAAGGAGGGTGCTGAGCACATGGTCATGTTTCCTAGAAGGAATTTAAAGCTTAAATTAATCATTCAGTCCAACTGGTAGACAATGTGGAACGATCTAACTTCATATCCCTTTATGGCGCAGGTCTAATTCCATAGGGATGATCAATTGGTAGTCTCAGCCCAATAATTGACCGTGCACACAATTTTAGTCAATTGTAAGTGTTAATTTTTCTTGATATCCTGATTTTCCAGTGTGGATGCTGACTGGAAGTTGAAAACATTTGAATTGTTTGGTCTATTTGCTTGTCTCAAAGTTATAAACGATGAGAATCAAATATTTATAGTTTTTTTTTTATGAGGAAAAAAACTTTCATTTCATTGAAAGTTGTAAAGGTACATAAATGAGGATAAGGAATCCAAAAAAAAAAAGGCAATCTTACTTTCAATTTGTCAGAGTCAGGGACAGGATAAATGGATCTACACCAGACTTTGACCCCCCTTGAATCCTCACATCTACATAAATAGACTTCTCTTGATGCTGTTGGTTGTAACCAAAAGTATCAAACTTTTGCTTCTTTGATCAAAGACATGTTGAATGAGATTGTTCCACGAGTATGTTTTTTCTTATTTGAGGTTTGGCTAGGGAGATGTAGATATTATCTTTAAGGCTGACCATAAAATTTTTTGGAATGTAGGCTATCCTATACAGAGACCCCGCAAACTCTACTGTTTTGCAAACCCATTCAATTGTTATGCTCTGAAGTCCCATTCGACTCTAGCCATTAAATGATGAAACAGAATTTAGCACCTCACCTTTATTTCACAATAGGTATAACAAAGTTTCGGCAAGTGATTATCTGTTCTTCCAAGATTGATCTTTTTCTCTTTTCTTGCAAAATTTTTGCAATTAGCCAGAGAGGGCGTGATAATACTACGAGTGGACAACTGAAATCCTACCTGAGAAGACTGCGAAAGAAGCTTTCCCCATGCAACCCCAACGCTTGATTTCAACTGCCGTTTCTTTCCCCGGTTTAACAACGTACAATTTGAATTCGCCTTCTCCACGTCAATCACCGAGTGACCTATTACGCATCACAATAATTCATAAAGCACCCAAAAATAAATAAACAGGGGACAAAGAACAAAAATCCAAGAAAGCCAAAGCGCATGCAAAGAAAAAGACCGCACCTAAAGACATCGGAGGCAAAAAAGGCTCACATTCCACTTTCGCATCCGGAGATTTCTCGGTTATGTGCCCATCGGACAGTTTCACACATTCCGGATCAGATGAACGAGCTTCATGATCTTGAAACTCGCTGCCTGATTCTTTCGGCGAAGACAGGGTTTCGATGGGTTGTGCACATGTCGTGTCGTTAGTCGACGACGAAGCCTCCGCAGTCTAAACTACCGATAAAAAAAAATCAAAATCCAAAAGATTCACATAAATCTAAACATATATAAAGCTTATTTACATACACACCCGAAAACTCCAAGAATTGAAACAAGATTGGGAAAAAGAAGAGACCTTAGATCGTTTGCCGTTGGGGAGAGGACAGGACGAAGAGAAGGGGCGTTTCGAGGAAGAAGAGTTTCGTCTGGTTTCTACCATGTTCGACCTTGTTCTTCTTTGTTGATTCAAAGATTGTTTGAAGAGAATCGGGAAAGAGAGAATTAGATACAGGAACAGAGAAGGTGAATGATCAGTTATTAAGCTTGGTGTGTGTTGTGTTGATATGATTTATATTTATATCTTACTGGATATGTACGAGAGAGAGAGAGAGAGAGAGAGAGAGAGAGAGCGGTGTTGGGGTGGGGGTTTGAAGCGGCAGAGGGTGAGTAATATATAGGTCGAGGGCCAGTGGCTATTTCGATATTTCAGATGCGAACGATAAAATTCCCGTTGAGATTGTTACTTAATTAGGAAACGACAATTTACACTTACATCCCTTCTGTACCATCGTTATTTAATTCGAATTTGTATTTTCACAAAACACCCCCTTCCATTAATCATAGATATCCGAGTAACAAAATTTACTGATATCTTCTAAATTTACTTTTTTTAAAGATTTATTGCGTGACGATGTTATTGAAAAATATCAAAATCGTGGTATTTATTTACTTAAGATTGGATTTCTCTACCAATTGTTCTGCATGTGATTTTAGAAATTATTTATGTTTGGCATATACCTACTCTGATCGAGATTTTTGGAAATGATTTCGGTACTACATTTCGGTGAACGAACTTTAGGCCACCCTTCCATCTTTTAAGTGCGAGACTTACTTTCCACCGTCCTGTATTTAAAACAATGTCGCAGCATCCTTCCAACCAAAAGAGGAGTACATTTGTACTTCGATTAATAAGGAACAGGTTCTTAGATTTATTTGATTCTGTTGACTCTTATTTGAGTCCGATGATAAAAAATTATTATGTTCGATTCTTCTGCATTCTATCATTTATAATTTGTATGATTATTAAGTTATGTCCAACATCATCGTCATCGCCAACCCTAAAGTTTACAACTGAGAATTACCATCGACACAAGCCGCACTAATACATCCACTTGCTATTATAACTTTCAAAACCATCGAAGCACCAAGGGACGGAGTCAGAAAGTCAAGCCAGGGTGGGCACAAATATTTCAACAAACTAATTTTTTTTTTACAATCAATAGAAATAGGACAATAATTTATATTTAATTACATTCTATTTAATACTTAAAAGTTCATTAAATCCAACATACCAAAATTTGGTAAGCTTAGTATATACAAACGACACCAATTTTTTTTTTTTACAAAATATAGGCTAATTAAAATCATTTAGAATTGACTCCGGTGAATTTTCATACTTTGAAATCGTTGCTTAATAACTTTATTATTTTTTATATACACCATCATTTTATCACTTTGGTCTTTATATACATAACATGTCCAAAATGTGTCAAAAAAATTCATATTTATTTGATATAAGTATACACTAATTGATGTGCCAAAAAAATAGGGTGGACATAATTAAAAGTATAGAAGAAATGCTTGAAATACATATAGGTCATGTTAAGAAAAAAAAATTGAGTTTGGACATGTGCTCCCCCCTCCCCCCGGGCATATGCTAGTTCCAGTCATGCTCTCTACTAAACTCATCAACAGTGCAAGGAACGACAAAAAAACCTAAGAACTGAGAAAATAACTTTACTCTATTTTTTCTAGTTAGACAACTGAGATTGAGTGAGACAAAGAAGAAAAAAAAAGATAACTAATAAGATAGGTGTTACTGATGTTTATCAAGTGGGCCAAAAATATTATTTTTTAACGGTGGACTAAAAATTTTATTTTTTTAATAGGTTTGGATAGGTCAAAGATTTAATTTTTTAATAAGTTTTGGTAGATGATAGTTAACTCAAATTTTTTTTATTTTAAATGGGCTTTATTTTTTAATTCTTTTAAGTAAAATAATGTGGGTCTAATATTTTTACCTTAGATTTTGGATGGTCATAAATAATATATTATACAAATATATAATATATATATACTTAACTAAATTTTTTATTTTTTTTGAAGGGGGGGGGGGGCACGTGCCACCCTGGCCCTAACCTCCCTCCGCCCTTGGATGCACCACCCCTTTACTGCATCTGACGTCCATAGAGATCAAGGGGTCATACCCGGAAGTATTTGAATTTACTTTTTTGACCACTTAAATTTAGGGAGTGCTTTTTAAAAATGATTAACATGACTCCCGGTAAAAAAAGCCTCAATATTCTAATGTAACTCACTTATTCCTTTGTCGCATTGTTTTTGTATGCTTATTAGTTTTGGGCTTTTGGTACATGTAACAATAAATCACTTTTGACAAAGCACAAGATGCCACTATATAATGGAATCCAAACGAATCCCATAAAGCAAGAATGCAACACGAAAGATTAGTTAATAAAACTCTAATTGGCAGTTCAAATAGTAATACGAACGAGTTGTAAATTCACACGTTATGAATTTGAGTTTTTGTAATTTTTTTGAGTCAAATCATGAAGAATTTTGTTGGGTTTTTGTGTAGTCTAGTTTTGTGTGTTTGATCCGGATGATGACCCAATCCAAAATAATATTGTGTGATTTTTAATGAGAAATTTTCTGAGATTTGGTTGAAATTAGTGCTTGTGTGATGAAATTAATATTTAAATTAACACACTTTTAATGCCATAAAAAAGGTCGAAACCCTATAAACTTGTGTTTACTAAATGAAAATAGTGAGACCCTTTAGGCTAAATCAGTCAAATTTTTATTTTATAGAGCAATAATTTTGGAGAAGTTTCTTAGTCCAGAAATTATTTACTTGTGACTGATTAAAAGATGTCTGTCTATGCATGGCGGTTGTTATATTATTACTTTCTATTGAATTAAATAAGTCAATGGAGTCTCCTGAAAAATAATATATTTTAGTGGGATTAGTTTAAAATTATGTGACAATTAATGGTATGCACATGCACGTAGGAAAGTGGAGAAGCAATCACTCAGACTAATCATGCATGGTTTTGATTAGGGGCAAGCATTGGTGGTTTACTTAGATCCACCAAGTGTAGATAAAGTTTAGAAAATTCAAAGAGTTTGACTTAGAAATTCTTAATCTATTATGACTATGTAATCTGTCATTTAATAGTGCCCCTAACATTTTAATCACGACTGGGCTTGAATTAATCAGTCACGAGTCATACAAATGGCATGGGCCCAAAGATGGGCTTAAACACTTTAAAAAAAAAAAATCACCATTAACAGATACACAAAATAAATATGTACAACATTGCATACGATAAGAAATTTATTTATAACAAAGTATAAATAAGTCAAATATAAACTAACTAAATTTAAACATTACACGACTGAGTTGTAAAACAAATCTGATATCGCACGATTCATCGTCACTTCTACACATAACCATACCATATGCCATGGCCAAATTTTTAGGATTTCGTCTTAACATCTGAAAAGACACTGCTTGATTTAGTCGGTTATAACTCACACGGATGGCATGGGGCCAAAGCTTGATTGATCACTCCACTCACTGGGCTTTTCAGAGACGGGGCTTGAGAGACAATATGATCCAGTTAAATTGGCCCGTTTTCAAATGCTCCTCGATAAAATTGGCAACACTCAATCAACTTATTTGGGTGGAGACTTCGTAATAAGTTTGAATTTTGATAATTTTTTAAATTTAGATTATAAACGATTTATTTTTCATAAATATCCTAATCTCGATGTGAATAACTTGTTTTTAACTAGATAAAAAAAAAAATTAATTAAGATGTGCGTAAGCTGATCCAAACATTCTTAACTGTTAAAAAAAACAATCAATTATTGGTGGTTCGAGTTTCTTTTTCGGTATTCCCTTCTCTTGTAATAGTGAATGACTAAAAAAAATGATATCATATTTTTATTTTCTTAACATCTTCAGAAAATTGTGGATAACTTGGGATTGAACTTATAAGGAGGATGGGGTTGAAATTTCCTCCATGCATTACAGATGAGGAAGAAGAGGAAGTAAATTCAAACACGTAGGTAGTATTTGTCACAACAAAACAACAAACTGTGGAAAACCCAATCCTCAACCTTATCACTCAAGACGCATACAAACAACATGCATTTCTCTTCATGTGACAAAACCAATAGAAATCTTAGGTCACACTCCTCTGCTAAGAATCAGTTGACCTCTGTATAATCTATGGAATAACGTTAGATAGACCCAAAAAATAAAAATTTTTAAAAATACAGATAAAATGATACAGAAATAACTTAATAACAAAAATTGGAATTTTTTGATTAGTGAGACAAAAAATATCATTACCACATTATTAAATCATTTGATTTATATCTCTTCTCTTTTTTGTTGGTTAGTATAACTTTACAAAATCGACCCACCTTAATCCAAAGGGAAAAAAGCCAACTAACCCCTAAGGCCGTGTGAGTTTTGAAAAAAGATGAAACAATTTTTTTCCCGGGTCTTTGATGTTTGAAAAGTATTTTACAGTTATATAAATATTATTTGTACTTAATTTAGTGATTTTATTTGATGACCTGATAGATCATAATTATTCAGTTGATAGTGAATATCAACTAATAATAAAATCATCACCAATAAGACCATTAAATAATATCTATGTAGCATCGATCTTATCTTTGAGGTTTTTGACTTACCTCATAAAAAAAATGTTAAATAGACTTAAAAAATTAATTTAAAAACTTGATTTGATAAATCACTATAAATTCCAATAAATACTGTAATTCATAGTTAAATCAACGACAAACATCATTTTCAATGGAAACTCAAACTCTTACTCAAATTTATACAAAAAGAGAAAAGTAAAAATCTTAATTTAGTATAGACATCTCTAACGAAGAAAGTTAAATTTAAAAGAAGATAAACTTAAATTTAAATGAGGAAAAATTTAAATTTAAATTTAAATGAGGGTAAAATATGATCACTAAACCTTTAAATGATGGTGAAATCTAACAATTAAAGATTTGAGTATAGATTTATATCTCCTTTCTTTGATTTGAGTTTAAAAAATAGTTTTTATTTCATTTGATATGAATATGAGTTTAGCATTGAAAAAATATTTTAGACTTTTTTGTACCCAAATTTAAATTTGGGTATAAAAAAAGCTAATGCTTTGTTTGGTACAATGAAAAAAATAAAAAAATAAAAAATTGAAGGGATAAATGAAACATCATATTTGATAAGGAAGAAAAATAGGAATGATGAAAAAATTGATAGATCATTTTTCATTTCAACTAATTAAAATCAATCCTTCTAAAATTAGAAGGAAAGTGAATAGAAAATTAATTATTTATATTAAAATATTTCTTATTTGTATATGTATACATTAATTTTATATATAAATATAAAGATAAAATATGTATTTATATTTTAAAAAATAAAAAATTTAAATTTAAAAAAAAAATTCATCTGATAGCTCAAAAAAAAAAAATTTTTTATTTTTCATCCATCCATTCTACTAAACAAATAAAAAAGTTATCATTATTACTTTATTTCCTTGAAGAATAAAAAATATATCAATCTTACTTTTATTACTTCTATTTTTCATATTTTCGACCAAACGAAATATAAAAATCATATCATTTAATTAAAATTTTAAATTAATTTTTTAAATCCGTGTACAATTACTCGAAAGCAACACAAAGAAAAGCACTTCAAAATATCCATAATACAAACAAAAGTACTTCGAAATTTCAAAATTATCATCGACTCCGAATTAAAATGTTACAGATAAGAATAATACGGTCATTCTGATTTTCCTCACAAAGCAGCGAAAACCTCAACCCGAAGCCAAACCCACCCTGTGCGGCTACGGGACTATTCCCCCTCCCTCCTAATCTTAATCGTCTCCCTCTCCCTCTCCATTTCTCTTCTCTGCACTCCCCTTTCGTACCCGAATTTCATTTACAAACTCAATCGAAAACCCACAACCAAAACCTAATCTATATCAAGCCGACCACCGCCACCACCACTTTCGCTTCTTTACATTAGGAAACAAAGGCCTAAACTCCAATGGAAACGAAGCAAGCTACGTCCGCTCCACTCTCAGACTCAGGTACTTCTTCTCTCAATTCCTCTTCTTTTGATTCTGAAATTCAGAATGTTCCCAAAACCAACGGTTTGAACAGTGCTACCCAAATTAATAACAAGAATACAACTATTAGTAGTAGTACGGGTTCTGGTGTTATTGTTTCTGATGATGAGGGTTTTGTGAGTGGTGAAGAGGAGTTTGAAAAGGCGTTGGAGAGGCCAGTTGTGGCTGACCCAGATGGGGAAGCCTTAGAACAGGGCACTGAACGGAAAGATACTAATTACTCTTTGTCGGGTTCTTCGGAGTATTCGATGCCGAAGGTGGAAGTGCAAATTAAAGAGCTATCAGCTGCCGATGATGACGAAAAAGGCAATAAAATGAAGGTTTTGGGGGGTGAAGAGGCAGAAGAAGGAGATGGGGTTGTGTTGGGAAAAGAGGCTGATTCAATTGTTGGGCATAGTTCCACTGATGCTTCTGGTTCTAAAGCTGTTGTAGCGGAGGAAATTGATGGAAAGCCTGCAATTGGGGTCGTGTCTGTGGCTAGCGAAAATTCGAACTCAAATTTGAATGAACTGGTGAAAGAAAGTGATTTTGGTGTGGCCCAAGATGGCTTTGTTGATGGTGTGGAGAGTAGTGATGGAGATAAACTTTCGAATTTGAACGGGAATCTGAGTTCTGTGACTGAAGGGAGCAGGATGCGTGAGGAGAAGAAGGTGGAGGAGAGTGAGGTGAAGGGTGAGGAAGCTGTGGAGATTAAAACAAATGAGGCTTTGCATGGTGAAAATGATGATGCTGCACCGGTTGAAGAGAATGCTGTTGTGAATGGTTATGGTGATCGTCCAAACCCTGAGACTTTTGAACCAACTGGCCCTAAGTCAGTTGAAGCAGATGGTGGGAAATTTACCACCGAAGGAGACTCTGTTGTGGAATCCATACAAGCAGACTTTTCGGGATCTGGAATGACTGTTGGCGGGGATATAGAAGAGATGAAGGATGCTAAAATCAAAGAGGTGGAGGTACCTGTAGAGGGGAGTGTGACATCGGTTAATGGGCCTAATCAAATCGGCCGTATTGAAGAAACCATTGATTCAAAGGTCGATGTGGTAGATGCTGAAGTTGTCAAAAACTCTGAACCTTTGAGCGAATATAATGTGGAAACCAGAGAATTGGAGCCTATAGGACCAACAACTGAAGTTGCTGGTGCTGGCAAAGACGAAAATTTAGATGTAGGAGCTGTGACTACGGATAATGTGATAGAAAATATGCATGAAAACATGGAAGTCCACTGTATTTCTGAAGAACTTGAAACTCTAGATATGGTGAAGATTGAGCCAGAAGCTGAATCTGAGGCAAAACAAGAGGAATCCAATGTGAAGAATGCTGGTGATGGAGTAGTAGTTGTGTCTGGTGAAGATGTAGTTGGTGCAGATGGTGATGGAGCCAGGGCAGTGAACTCTGTCACTGGAGCGTGCCATACTGATCCAGCCAATGAGATCAATCATATGGAAAGTGGTCATGCCGAGAAATCTGATGCACCCAACTTCCCTGGGTCAGGTTCGACTCCAAATCGACAATTAATTGTAGAAGCTGAAGATGAAGCAAAAAATCCGATAGACGATGAAGGTGAACTTGAAGGCTCAGTTTCAGATGGGGGGACTGATGGTATGATATTTGGAAGTTCTGAAGCTGCCAAACAGTTCATTGAGGAGCTGGAACGTGGAGTAGGTGGTGGGTCTCACTTTGGTGTAGAGAGTTCTCATGATCAGTCACAAAGAATTGATGGCCAGATCGTTACAGACTCGGATGAAGAAGTGGACACTGATGAAGAAGGTGATGGAAAAGAGTTGTTTGATTCTGCTGCGTTGGCTGCTCTCTTGAAAGCAGCAAGGGGAGCTGATTCAGATGGTGGCAATATCACTATAACTTCTCAAGATGGATCTAGGCTTTTCTCAGTTGAGCGTCCTGCAGGTTTGGGATCCTCACTCCGGTCTTTGAAACCTGCTTCCCGATCAAACCATTCCAATTATGTTACTGCTTCCAGTCTTTCAAGTGGTGCAGAATCTGAGAACAACTTGACTGATGAAGAGAAGACAAAATTGGAGAAGTTTCAGATGATAAGAGTGAAATTTTTGAGGCTCATTCAGAGATTAGGCCTTTCCCCAGATGAATCTGTAGCAGCACAGGTTCTGTATCGGCTAGCACTTCTTGCAGGGAGGCAAACCGGTCAGCTTTTTAGCTTTGATGCTGCCAAAAGAACAGCTCTGCAGCTTGAAGCTGAGGGTAAAGATGATTTGAACTTCTCTCTAAACATCCTGGTTCTTGGGAAATCAGGAGTGGGCAAAAGTGCTACGGTAAACTCAATTTTTGGGGAAGAGAAGGCTAGGATTGACGCATTTGAACCTGCAACTAATACCGTTAAAGAGATTAGTGGAATGGTGGATGGAGTTAAGATTCACTTATTTGACACACCTGGCCTTAAACCTTCTGTGATGGAGCAGGCTTTCAACCGTAGCCTCTTATCTTCTGTGAAGAGGTTCACTAAAAAGAGCCCCACAGATATCATCCTCTATGTGGATCGGCTGGATGCCCAAACCAGGGATCTTAATGATCTGCCACTGTTGAGGACGATCACCAGTTCTCTTGGCCCATCTATCTGGCGAAGTGCCATAGTCACCCTTACACATGCTGCTTCTGCACCTCCAGATGGACCATCAGGTTCCCCTTTAAGTTATGAGGTATTTGCTACCCAGCGATCGCATGTCGTTCAGCAGTCAATTGGGCAAGCTGTTGGTGATCTCCGCATGATGAGCCCAAGTTTGATGAATCCAGTTTCTCTAGTTGAGAACCACCCTTCGTGTCGAAAGAATAGAGAAGGCCAGAAGGTGCTACCTAATGGCCAAAGTTGGAGACCACATTTACTGCTTTTGTGCTACTCTATGAAGATTTTATCCGAAGCAAGTTCTCTCTCAAAACCTCAAGATCCATTTGACCACCGCAAGCTGTTTGGGTTCCGGGCTCGCTCGCCGCCTCTTCCCTACATGTTGTCTTCGATGTTGCAGTCTCGTGCACACCCAAAACTGTCAGCTGAGCAGGGTGGCGAGAACGGTGATTCCGATATTGACCTGGAGGACTTGTCAGATTCTGACCAAGAAGACGAAGATGAGTACGACCAGCTTCCTCCATTCAAGCCTCTAAGGAAGTCTCAACTTGCGAAGCTTAGCAAGGAGCAGAGGAAGGCCTATTATGAGGAGTACGACTATCGGGTGAAGCTCCTTCAGAAGAAGCAGTGGAGAGAGGAGTTGAAAAGGATGAGAGAGATGAAAAAGAAAGGCAAGGGTGCTGTAAATGATTATGATAACATGGAGGAAGATGCTGATTCTGGTGCAGCTGCTCCCGTGGCGGTTCCGTTGCCTGACATGGTATTGCCACCTTCCTTTGATGGTGACAACCCTGCATACAGATACCGGTTCTTGGAGCCAACTTCTCAATTCCTGGCCAGGCCGGTTTTGGACACACATGGTTGGGACCATGATTGCGGGTATGATGGTGTCAACCTTGAGCATAGTGTAGCCATTGCCAGTCGTTTTCCAGCAGCAGTTACCCTGCAGATCACGAAAGATAAAAAAGAGTTCAGCATCAATTTAGATTCTTCGGTTTCCGCCAAGTATGGTGAGAATGGTTCAAATATGGCGGGCTTTGACATTCAAACTATAGGAAAGCAACTTGCTTACATCATCCGTGGGGAAACCAAATTCAAGAATTTGAAGAAAAACAAGACAGCTGCTGGTGTATCTATTACATTCTTAGGTGAAAACGTGGCCACTGGTTTGAAGATTGAGGATCAGATTGTTTTAGGAAAACAGTATGTTTTGGTTGGGAGTGCTGGGACTGTCAGATCTCAGCATGACACTGCATATGGTGCCAATTTTGAACTGCAGCGCAGGGAACAGGATTATCCAATTGGCCAGGTCCAATCTACATTTGGGCTGTCTGTAATCAAGTGGAGAGGGGACTTGGCACTGGGGTTCAACAGTCTAGCTCAGTTCTCCATTGGACGTAGTTCGAAGGTGGCTGTTAGAGCAGGAATAAACAACAAGCTCAGTGGGCAGGTCACTGTGCGGACAAGCAGCTCAGAACATCTTTCTCTTGCACTCGCGTGCATTATTCCAACTGCAATTTCCATCTACAAGAAACTCTGGCCTGGTGTTGGTGAAAACTCAATCTACTAGATCTTGTTTATGGCATCAGAAAGCTTGATGCTAGATTGATCAGGTTTTTAATTTATTTAGTAATGCTTTGCTTATTTGAATACTTGTGCTGGTACTAGGCTTATATTTTTTTTGGCGCGATAACATGTATCGAATATGAGATGTAATTGAGAAGTATTGCTGTAATTTTGCTATTCAGGTCCCTGGTCATATAGGATTTGGTGTTCATGCTATGTAATCTCGTTGGAAGTTTCAGCTCGATTTATTGTATTTGAGTTGTTTTATTCTTCCAGATTTTGTTCATTGGCTACAAATTTTGTTTCATACAATTGATTTTGCACAAAGAATTATGTGCATGACCTGAGGGTGAAATTCTACTGCAAATGACTCATTTGCACTGAGGTAGACTTAGGTACACTTCTTTACTTATTGATCTCTATTGTGACACCTACTAAGAAAGTAGAAAATATGGAATGTAGACCAGGAGCCACACATGGATAACACCTGAGCAACGCCATATTTGTTTCATGGTTGATAAGTCTGATTTGTCAATGTTCAGCACCATAATGGACAGTAGGGTTATAGGTTGCTGTGAATTTGATTTGATTTTAGTTCTGATTAGGAAACTGAGAGAATACAGTCCCCATCCATCACTTGAAGGACAGATACTGACATTTTTTTAGAAGCATGGAATTCATATCAGAGCCAGGAGTTAAGAGGAAACTGAAATGTATTGGTCTGATTTCATTCTCCTACTAATAGCACGGCCAGTTGGAGTAAGAGTGAAATTCAGGAGGTAGCTCATGTAGTTGCCAAGTTCTTACTTGGTTGCTGAACACAAGGTTAACCATCCACTGCTTCCGGAGTTGGTATGGCACGAAACATTTTCCAAGACTTTGTTTCAGATGAAACCCGAAACGTTTATTAATTTTCTTGTGAAATGGCCGACACACTTGTCCCTTTTCGATGATTGTTTCGTGGAACAGAACACATCAATGCCAACACCCAACTGAGAGTTTCAGACAAATATTAACTCTTGTGAATTTGGGATTCTAATTCACTTGTGAACTAGGGATTTCAACGAAATTTTGCTGAGTTGTGATGTTAAGACAAATCAACTAGCAGTCTTGGAGCTGCTTCTTGGACTAGAAAGGTAAGTCCTGTTTTTTCCTGGAACTTGGATCGATTATCTAGTTGCGGTTTCAGGATTTGGTGAAACAAGGCCACCACCTGCTTTTTCTGTTGGCCGTTGCCGTGTCTTAGTATGATGGTTGATTGGATCTTTAGGTTTTTCTTTCTCCTGCTTGAGTATTTAGATTTCAACGTACTGGAAAATATAGTCTTTTTAGCTTATCAAATAAGTTTTCTCCTTTCTAGTTGACGTGGGAGCTAGGCTGTGTTAATGTGGTGTTAATTGCTCTCCATGTAAGGCTAATAATAGATTCGAAACAAGTTTGACCAATTTTTCAGGCTCATTTAAAAATAAGTTTAAAAGATTCAGTTCGTTTATATATAAAATAATTGAGCTAGTCAGGGTCAAAACCTGACTTAGCTAAGTTATTTTCTAACCAAGTCGAATTTGAACAGTATTTTAGGTTCATTTAAAAAAAACGAGCTCGAAGAATTTGGTTCAAATTTGTAAAGTTTGGTTCAATCCTATCTGCATGTTAGTTTTGTGTCGTCGGTGATATTCAATTCAATGTTGTTCGTCCATATTAGAATAGTGACTTTGGGAGTAATGTGCCTTTCTACGTCCGATGACTAGTGATCTAGAAACATTAGAAAAGGTTTTTTTTAGCAACGCTTACTTTCTTATTCAATTTATAGTGTGTAGTTCTATAGTGGTCTTAAACTTTTGATCAATTCAGGAGTTTTTTATTAATGTGTGGACTCCTTATTGAGATTTTCTTAATTTGAATGACCATTTCAATATCTTCATTGAGATATTCTTAAATTTACACTTTAAACACAAAAAAAGTGTAAATTCAAATTCAGATACCATGCACATTTTGACATCTTCATTGGTAAATTCTAATGATTGTGATTATTCGATTGTTAGTGAATCTCAATATTAAATACACTCGACTATCAATTTAATAATCACAATGTTTTAGATTTTTAAATTATATTTTTGAAGGATAATATTTTTTTTATCAATTTTGCCCATAAAGTATCAATTTTATCAATTTAGTCCCTAAATTATTTAATTCGTGTAACTTTGGTCCTTAATCAAATAATTCGTTAAAATTTTTGAAGGAAATGACCATTTGTCACTGTTTTAGACGGTATTATGTGTCCAACACGTAATCATTCCGTAAAAAATTTAACGGTTCATTTTTGTAAAGATCATTTTGACACGAATTGAATAATTTTGGGACTAAATTAATATCAAGGAGCAAACTGATAAAATATATTAAAAGTACTATTAATTCTACTTTCTAAATTATGTCACAATAATAGCATTAGTGATTTCCATGGGTTAATCTTAGAACTGTGAAGGAAGTCCGACGAGCAGAAGCAACAAACAAGGAAAGGAATAACATTGTAGAAATGTCTTAACTACCTTACTACACGACACATACTAAACCCCCATCAAACCTTATAAAAACGATGATATAACCAATTATCTCTTTTTGGCACAGCCATCACCATTACTTTCTTACCATTACAGAACCAGACGGCTCTTCACTTTGCCTTGACAGCAGCTTCCCCATTGGTCGAAACACTGTGCCCATTTTCAGCACCCTCAAAGGCCTTGGCGATCCTCTCAATGGGCACTAACGGCAGATAATACGACACCGTGTAGCCTCTCTTCGCCGTATAAGTCACGGATTGATTGTACTTCTCTGTCCAGTACGCAGCCGTTGGAACGACGACATGAGCCACTTGAGGGAACAATGGAAGCCGATTCAACGAGCGCCAAGTGGACACTGCGTAATGCTCAGCCACCGGCTCATACTTCGAGTAGAGCTCTTTGGCAGTCGGCTCATATTTTGTGTACAAATTCTTGGCCGCTTCTACAACCCCGGCGCTCTGTATTTCCGAGGCTACGGCTCGAACCACATCTGGAGCCTTCTGAGCCACCAACAAGGCTTTGGATGAAGCTTGTTTCACCAAAGAGGGCACGTGACGATCCAACTCGTTTATCGACTCGTCCACCTGCAAAGTCACGTGAACTCTTTAATCAGCGACAGAGAAACACAAAAGTGCACAAAAAATACGCCGAATCCGGTTATGTGCTCCGGGTGCGATTTGATTTGGAGTTCGAATAAGACCTTGCGATCGACGAACTTGAGAAGCTCGAAGGGGACGTCGTGAAACTTCTCGTAAACCGGTCCGATGACGGTTTTAACGGTGCCTTCAACGGTCTGGACGCCGGGTTTCAACGGACCTGAGTTCTCTTTGGCATAGTCGTACAGGCTTGAGAAGCAAACGACGATGTAAATCGCCGCGAATTGAACGAAATCAAGATACTTCAGCTGCTTCTGATTGTCTTGGACCTTCTGCAATAACAAGAATAATTCAACGATAAAACCCTAGTAAAATGTCAATCATACTGATACAAACCAATATCAAATTCACAATAAAAATTCAGATCGAGTACAGACGTTAATTTTACTTGGTTTACGCTACAGGTTAATTTTATGAGTGTTTTGATGATGATTTCCGAATGTGACCAAATTCAAAACTGACGTTGATCTTCGAATACGACAACACCAAACAATATCAAGTTATCAATCTGTTCCATTGAGTTGTTATATTTCCTTGGAAGTGAAAAAACTTTTGAACGTTTTCCAAGACACTATCGATAAACATGGAGTATTCAACGCTGTATTGTCCAGTGTTTTTTCAAACGTTTTCTTGGCAGCCACACGACAGACAGAAACAATCACAAATAAGATACAGGTACAGCAGCTAAACTCTAATAACAAGTAAGGAGAGATTGTATTTACGAAGTCGAAGGAGTGCTTACCGTTTCCGCTGGTTGTTGGGCTTCTGATTCCGCCATTTTCTTTTCGAGAGAAACTTTCTCAAACGTTAGAAAAAAAAAAGAGAGAGAGAGAGAGAGATTTAAGAGGAAGACAGATCAGAGATTTCTATAAAGATGGAATGGAAGAGAAGGGACAACTCAGAGTTGATGGAAATTGAAGGTTGTAAGTAACAACTCCCGCTTTTATAGATAGGTGGTTGCCGATCTGGTGCGAAGAAGTTGATTGAAATCTAGGGTTTTAGGAGTGCCTACTCTGCCACGTGTCCTACACGTGATGGCCGACGAGACGGTGTCAACGTTGTCGTGACTTGGTGAAGGTTAAATTTGATGTAGCTAGATTTACCTCTTATTAATAATTTAATTATTATTGGGTTTGGAGCTCATCCAAAAATAGAAAATAGCCAATGCCGTGATGTATTACCACATCATTGACACCTGGCCCGCTGTACGTGATGGAATAATAATCTTTTGTTGATTAGGAATTTTTATGAAATTTTCATTTTAAGTTATTCACCATCAAATAAGTAAATTGTATTAATATTCAATAATAAAGATTATATCATAAATTTAAATAAAAATTTGATAAAAAACTTAGTTAGGTGTTGAAAGTGTTAAATATAAGTCTTATGGGTTGATAGATCTATATTGGGAAGTGTAAAATAACTGTTCATGGGGCACACATGGCAATAAAGGTCGAGGGCACACTGGACGAGGTGATCAGGTCATGCTCTCGTTCTTAATTCATTACCCCTAACATGCTTATGTGCAACTTTATTTAATGTCAATGTCATTGGCGAAGATACAATTGTAGGAGACCTAACAATTCAACTAAGTTGTATCATGTCTCCGACATTTTGTTTGTTATGATAAAAAAATAAAAGAATAAAAAATTATTGAAATAAATAAAATATCATGTTTTATAAGGAAGAAAAATATGAAAGATAAAAAAATAGATAGATGAACTTTTCTTCTAACTCACTAAAATCAATTTCTCCAAAATCAAAAGGAAAGTGAATAAAAAATTAATTAGTTGTGTTGAAATATATCTTATTTGTCTAAATATCTTTTGATAAAATGAAATTACACACCAATTATAATGTGAATGAGCGGTGGTAGTGGTGGTGATGAGAGATAATAATGGTTTGTGGTGGATGTCGACGACCGTAGTGGTGGTGGTGGATTTTGGGACAATGGTGGCAATGGTAGCTGTGGGTGATGGCGGCAGTGGTGGATGACGATGATAATGGTTGACAGTGGTGGTGGTGGGCGACGATGCGTACTTTTAGGCAACAGTGTGATGGGTGGTAGGGAATGATGGTGGCGAATAATGGTGAGGGTAAGTGACAGTGGGTGATTGTAGTGGTGGACAATGACAGGTGGTGGTAGGTGTGGTAGGGGTGGGTGACAGTACCTGATGGTGATGGTGGACGACGACAGGTGGGGGTGGGTGCTAACGGTGGGGCGATGATGGTAGTTGGGTAATAGTGGTAATGATAATAAATATAAGAATAAGATGATGATAGCGGTGGTGGCAGTGGACGATAGTGACAACAATCGTGGTGGGTGGCAATGGTGATGGTGGTGGCAATAGGACAGTGGGGGTGGAAATGGTGGGGGTGGTGGCCGAGGTGAGGGTTTGGCGATGATGGCAATGGTGGTGATAGTTGTGATGATTATGAGGGTAGGGGTGGTGGTGGTAAAGGTGATGGTAGGATAGTGACAGTGGTGATAGGGTGCAACAGCGGTGGTGGAGATGGTGATAGTGGGGCGATGGGTATGATACGGTAGCGATAGTAGTGATGGTCGTGAGGGTGGTGGTGTGACGGTAGGGGTGGTGGTGGTAAGGGTGATGATAGGACAATGGCGGTGGTGATAGGGTGCAACAACGGTGGTGGAGATGGTGATAGTGGGGCAGTGGATATGGTAAGATGGCGATAGTGGTGGCGACGGTGGTGGCGGTGGGGCGGTGGAGGTGGTGGGGTAGTTTCAAACAATACTTTTAAAAAAAAAATACTTATGAAAATTAATTTGTAGAAGCATTCTTAAAAAGTCACTCCAAACACACACTTTTAGGAGTCTATTTTTTCTATTAAATTTGAAGTGTTAATATTAGCCGTCAGATTAAGTTTAAAGTAAAATTTAAAGAGATTTCAACTGCGAATAACAAAAATCAATTTATTTATTTTTTGAAATTTGAATTGTATTGTACTTTATTATATAGATAAACGATTTCTCTATTTTCTTGTTTATATGGTAATATAAAATTGACATGTTTAACTAGTATTATAGACATACAATGTTAATTATTTGTAACTATTTATTAAGCACTGACATAATTATTACATAAAAAATATATTTACGTATTATTATTCTTATATTTATTTAAGTTAATTTTTAGTTTATAAAAAAAGTATGAGCATGGATTCAATTAAATGAAAATAGAATATTAGCGTTAAATTTTTTATTCAAAATTTATGTGGGTCAACACAGATATGAACACGAATACGACACGAAAATAAATTGGTCATGTAAACCCCCCACATTCTTATCTTTATATCGTAACGTAATTATGTTTTGAAATGCTAATATATGTGATAATGTATGCATGAACTATGTAGATTTTAAGAGTAGAAATAAAAATGTTAGTTGAGGTAATAGAGTATATTATAGAAGTTTGGAAGTATTTCGGAGTGAAAGCACACATTAGAGAGAATTTGGATAAAAAGAATTTTGGACACTGTCTAGTATTTGAACCATAATTTTTTAATTTGATGTTTATTTGATATGAAATTTCGACAATAGATAGTAGATTTTTAGGACTACAAAATAATATTTCACGAAAATTTTTCAAATCGACCTCTAAATGGGTCAAAACTTCACTGGAAGTTTCAATAGAAACTAGGATGACATTCGAACGTGAATCAACGTTCGAACGATCGTGAGTCCCAGTACTTTGGTCTCTGCAGAGCTCTAATGAAAATACAAAAATATTGGGAGCAACCAATGTTCGAACGCCAAAATAACATTCGAACGTGAATCAATAATTTGCACTATTGAGATTTGAACGCCAAAGGGACGTTCGAACGTGACTTACGGATTCTAAGTTTCAAATTTGCGCACAGGGGACCATTTGACCTCTTATAAATACTTAAGCACACCTCTCTTAACCCCATTTCAATATTTATAATCCTAGAGAGGCTTAGAGAGGAATAGATAAGGGGAAAAACACAAGATCAAGAGAGATTTGCATATCGAAGAGGATCAAAACTTCTAGGTTTTTAAGAACACCAAGGAAGAAGAAAGGTAGGAATTTTCTTCCACTCTTGTCCATTGAGGTTATGACATATATATATATATATATATGTTTTCACTTTCAATTTTATATATTTGCTATGAAATCATTATTTCTTGATGCTCTTGCAAATATTACCATGTTTTGATAGAAGTTATGGTTGAATAGCCATGAAATCTTTTCTTCTCGTCTTGAAAACTCTAGTTTTTAAGAAAAATGGATTTTTCTCTCAATATTCCTTTGTTATGGATTTCAAAACTCTAGTGGTTGGTATTGAACAATAAAATGATATTGTTGATGATCTTTTGCTTATTTTCTTAAATTGTTCTATTGGAATCATATATGTGAAATTTAGGGATTTTTGGATTTGCTTGTGATTTAAGGAATTGAGTTTGTATTGTATCTCTTATGGATGTTTGGATGACCATGGGTGGCCGTTGACCGGATATCGTAGAGTAGGTTAGATGCGTTTCTTACTCCGTGTGGATTTGAAGATTCTCTATCACTCATAGTGGGGTTGGTGTCTTGCGAGGACCAAACCCCTATTTACTCACGTGTTATCGAAGCTGAGGGTTAGTATACTATTCTTGGGTTGGATCGTCTCTGCCAATGCGTTGGTATAAGCTCTTCCTAAAGATTCAGAATCCTTGCGAGAATTGGGTGCGTGTGTGGGGGTCTGGATATTCTCGATGTGTTTATTCATGCGATGTCATACATTATACCTGAGATACAAGTTATATATATATACATAATGTTATGAAAGATACAAGTTATGGTTTGATATACATTGTGGGTAATGTTACAAATGGTGGGTTATGGTTCATTGTTGAAAATGGTTTACGATTTGAATGGTTTAATATTGAAATGGTTTATTGCTTAGAAATTAGTTTTACTGGTTTAATATTGGAATGGTTTATTGCTTGGAAATTAGTTTTACTGGTTTAAAATTGGAATGGTTTATTGCTTAAAAATTAGTTTTACTTCTTCATTTAATTATTGTTATTGCGTAAACTAGAGATCTGTTGTAATCTCCTTGTTTTATTTCAAAAGCTATATATAATATTTGTGAAATGAGACCGACTGTTTTCTATGTTTTGAAACTTTGTTCGAGTTTGAGAGGATTTTTTTACAGAGTTTAGTGCTCACCCCCTATAAATAACATTCTTTTCAGATTATGGTATAGAGAAGGAGCTTGGAGTTGATGAGCCGGTATATTGGAAAACTCCAACAGATGGGAATGTAGATCCCGAAGTTGACGTTTAGAGCAATATATTTTTTTGTGTTCTACACTAAGAGGTTCATTTTGAGACAATGTGAAGTCTAATATTTTTGTCATTCTGCTGCAAGTTAATAGTAAATTTTTGGGATGTAATTGCCATAGTTTGACATTTTTTTTTTTGGATGCAAATGTCATGGTTTATCATATTCTTTTTTATGATATTGTAAATATTATGAATGATGGATGAAATCTTCTTTACTTATAGATAATATTAGTTGTTCTTATGATGTGAATGATTTTACATAGTAGTAGTGTAGTTTAAGGTGGCTTTTGGGGCGTTACAGGTCAACTCGACGCGACACTATTAGTTAAATGAGTTAAATTATGTTTGACTAATGTTCAACATGAACTCACAATAACTCGACACGAATTTAACACGGTTGTCACCCCTAATCTTAGCAAGTACCAAAAAAAAAAATTAATCATTTTTATTTACTTCCATCCTATCAAACACACAAAAAAAAAAAAATGTATCATTTCTATTTTTTTTCTTTGAAGGGTAAAAAATGTATCCTTTTTACTATCCATTATCCCTTCAACAGGAGCATTACTGTTTTTTGCTGATTAAAGATGGTGCAAGTAAGTAGAAATTCTTCTGTTGTCCATTGTTGTTACCATGAAATGGACAGGGAGATGATGAGGAGAAACCTCAAGATTTCTAAAAATCATATATCCCCGATACCTCTGCCTCTAGATAGGTATAACTTAAGTGAGACTCCTCTATTTTTAAAATTTTTGTACGTATTAAATTCAAATGGACTAAAATTTGATTTGAACTAATTAAAATTTAAGGCGATTAAAAATTATAATTTTTTACATAGTAAAATATAAATTTTAATTTTACTCAAATTTAATACGTAAAAAATAAATTTTAATCAAGTTGAATTGAATTTAAATAAATAAAAAGTATAAATTTTAATCAATTCGAACGATTTTTAATCGGAACTAACAACTCAAGTAAAACTCAAATTGACTCGAATTTTAGAACGTAAAAGACATTTAATAGATTCAACTTTTAATACGTTAAAAAAATAAAAATTTAATCAGCTCAAATTCTAATATATGGAAATAGTCAACTCGAATTTTAATATGCAGAAAAATGAATTTTAATCGATTCAAATTTTAATTAAATTTTATGTAAAAAGATTGATTAGAGTTTATGTGAGGATAATTTTAGTATTTTAGATAATTTTATTATAAATGGTGGTTTAATAGTAAGACGTGTTAGTGATATTTAAATATAAAGTAGATGGGATATCAGTGATATTTTTGATAATAACGGAGATATCCTTAAAGATATGACAAACTAAAAAAAATGTGACTGAAATTTTTCCTTTTCTCTTTTAACATGTCGAAATATAGTTTAGATAATAGGTTTGTTGGGAATTTCGTTGACACCAAATGTACTTAAACTCTAGAATGCTTATCCATGAAGCATTTATTAATTGGTCGGCCTTATTCTTTGTATCCATAAGTTATACTATGGTGCTTAGACTGTTGTTCCTGAATATTTAAGACTCAGATCCATTTTAATATAATTTTTTTTTTTGTATATAATTCATTATGAATTCAAATAAATTTATTATTATGTAAGATCGGAATGACTCACTTATACATATTGCGTAATTTATCTATGGGGATATATAAAAAAAATATATTTTAAAGACAATTTAGAATAGAATATTAGTATGTGGATGATAAATCATAATAGAGAGAGGAGGGCAAATGAAGCACCTAGGGTAATGTACATTCTTAATCTTCATTTGTAAGTTGATAATTTTTATCACTTACTTATTATCCCACGCAGTTTTTGAAGTCCGACAATTCTTAAAAGTGGTCAAATGATTAAGTTTATCCTCTTATAAATTTGATATTTCTTATAAAAATTAATTATTTTTGTTATTTAAAAGACATGTCTTTAAAATAATTCGAGTTACGGTAGTCGACTTAACATTTTCGACCCTTATCATTTTTTAGACTCAAATTTAAATTTAAATAAAAAACTCTTAAAAACCTTCTTTCAATTCTATACTTATATTCATATCAAATTAAGAGAAACTCAATTCTTTACCCAAATTTTTAATGGTAAGATTTTATCATCTTTTAAAGATCTAATAGTTATATTTTATCCTCTTTTAAATTTGAATTTCTTTTTTTTTAAATTTGAATTTATCCATTAGAACCATTTATATTAAATCAAAATTTTCCCTTAAATATTAATTCAAATTTGAATAATGGTTGAAGGTATTTTTTTTTTGTTGGTTATAAAAGGGGTAGGGGCAAAGAATAGTGCCCAGTAACCACCCTGATAGGTATTCATTGGTGGGATTATAAGGCCCTTGACCGCGTCTGGAACATCTTTCGAGACTAGATCTAGTTAGGCTAGCATAGCGGTCAACCACCAAGTCTCAATGAAGGCTCCAAGACTCGAATTCTCAACCTTAAGGTGAAAAATAAAGCCGATGTTCCACTAAATCACCCTAGTTGGAGGAGGTATTTTTTGAACTCGAAGAATCGGTGCAAATTTGAAGTCCGTTTCTTGTGGTTAGTTTGGTCATACCACATTTTGAGTGTATAGGGTTTTCTCTCTAAAGTTGTTCAATGGGCAAATATGTAATTATACCAATATCCAATCGAAGGCGCGGTGTGTGTCTGGATCATCTCTACCTCAGAACTAGTCACAGTCAGCACACAAGGTAAGAGAAGGCGAAGTGAGGCAGCGAAAGCATTTGGAGTGATTCACAATCAGCGGAGAATGGTGAGCACTTTCTTCCAATTCCCACTTACAGGATTTATGATCATCTTCTGTTATATAATTTGTGTTTCGTTTGTGCTTGAATTTCTTATTTTTATCATATGTTTTGATGTAATCTGTATCAGCATCTATAATGTTAGGGTTTTAAAACTTTCGTCGCCAAATTATTCTGCAAAATATTCGTTTCGAAACGCTTAGATCTGTTCCCATAGAAGATTAGGGTTTGCCTAATTGCACACACACACTCACGCACAGAAAATTTCATTTACATTCAAGACATATGAAGTGTCCTAGACACTCGTTCCTGTCAGTTCGATTTGTTTCTGTGGTTAAAATGACATGTTATTGATTCTGTTCTTTCTAGTTAGTGGGCGTAAATTTTTAGAGCAGCTTAGAGCTCTTATCTCAATATGTCAGGGTGTGTTATGCCTGGCCGGGCCAGCTTTTGGTGCAATCTGGTTGAAATGTTGAGTTTTATGTCATTTCCATGTGTTTGGTCTATATTTGTCACACACAAACCCATATAGTTGTCATGTTTTTTCTTTCATTACACCTCTGTATCATTTCTTTTTTTTTTTTTCTCTTCCCTATTTGGAAGTTAAAATTTGAGTGCTGGCGGCGGTGATATGTGTTCCAATATTGTAAACAATGTCAAAACATAGATATCAATTTGTACTATGATGTATGTAGTGGCAACTGTGATTATATGGTGAAAGCAATAAGCATGACAAAGGAAGGGTCTGCTGAACTAGGAGGATGATACTTATATATTAATCTGTTTCTGCTAGAGAATCTGCATTGTTCTCAATTTTCAAAGCAATGAATATAAAAATGTTTGTGTTTTCTCGGAGATGCAATTTCAAATCTATAAAATGGTGGCTTGTTGCATTAGGGCGTTATTAATAATTGTAATATTCAAGTTTTGTGAATTAACATGCTCTTTTTTTTAATTGAATTAACATGCTTGTTCAATTAGCCTTTCTAATCAGTGTTCTATTTGAGTTATGGTAAATGCTACCTCCTACTCGATTCTGGGTGTTGTATGTGTTTTCATTTCCGTAGGCATTTCCTGGTAAATTCTTGATGGTTTTGCTGGCAGGATGGAAAGGATTCAGAAGAACCAAAGCAAAGCACTGCTGATATGACAGATTTTGTGAGTTCCTCACTTTGATTCTTGTATCAATGTGTCTTACAGCATTGTTCTATGTATAGCTCATATGACAGATTTTGTGAGTTCCTCACTTGGATTCTTGTATCAAAGTGTCTTACGGCATTGTTCTATATATAGCTGCAAGGACAGTTTGGTGATGTTTAAAGCATACTGCAGATACTTTGATTGGTTTATGTGATCTGAATCACTAGAGTTTCATGTAATACATTTCAAAGAAAACAATTTGTTGATTAGAGAGTGCTATACGTATTCCTAGGGTATAGGAGTTGTTTTCTTGCTTGTGATTGAATTTGTAATATCAAAGATTCACTAATGGCTAATTTCCTGTTACTGTAGGTACAAAACCTTCTTCAACAGATGGTGAGTTGTAACACAGATTATATGTTCTGTATAATACTATTGTTACTTGATATTTTTTTCGGACTGCCAATTGTTATTAAGTAGTATCTTTATTTTGCAGCAAACCAGGTTCCAGACAATGTCTGAATCTATTGTTTCAAAGAATATCCTTTCCCTGCATTTTTTATTTTGCTGGATTGCAATTGTTTGTGGTAAATCACGACACTTATTTTCAATCAGCAACATATATGTTGTGGCTTGTGCTCCACAAAGCGCCTCATTCTCTATGTATTTTAAACATGCTATACTCCATTCAATACATCCGTACTATCTCAGTCTAGCTTTACATAATGCAGGGCAATAGTTCCGGGTAATTCAGTATGCTGCATACAGGTCAATTCTATGAATCCTCTGATTGGATTCATTTGTTGAGAGTCTTGAGACTTAGCATACATCATATGGGCATACCCCCGTCTTTCGTGTTTGAGATAGTAGTCATGTATGCTCCATGCACTGTGTAAATCAAGGACCAACCTTACAAGCATGAAAAATGGTAGGAAATAGGTTTGGAATTTTAATTGGCTTGACCATGCTGCACTTGTTGGATGAGATTTCTGTGCATCTAATTGGCATTAAGAATAAAGAAGATGCATTGTTTGTCGTGTTCCTCCATAACTGCAATATACTTGATGAAATGGGAAACCGGATAAATGAGCTGGAGCAGAGCATCAACGACCTCAGGTCAGAAATGGGTGCAGAGGGGGGCTCTCCATCTCCTTTGGCACCATCCAAAAAGCCCGATGAGGTGAAACCAGGGGAAGGTTCTGCCTAGGACTAGTTAAATTGAATGCTTTGCCATGGATGTCGGTTCAGTTCATACTTACCTTTTCTGGTTCCCAAATGTTGTTGGGAAGATAGAGCTGGCCTACTATATGGGACTAGTATGTGCCCGAGACATCTATGAGGTTAAGATTCTTTTTTGATTATTTTCTTCTGGACGTTACGATGACTTGCATATTTTCATCTACATGGATCTTTGCTTATTGTTTGGAGGTACGGTTTTTATTCCCTGCTGGTGTTGTGAGTCTGTGATGAGATAATTCTGTTAAGCAGCAGGGATGGGGCATGCGGATATACTGGCGATGTCGGACATCAGAACAAAGAACTTGCTTGTTCTTGACCACTTGCTTCAAAAAGTAGCATTACTCTTTTTGTTTCCCATACTGTCCCAAATGTTAAATGACCTTCATATGTACGGGTTATATTCTTTTTCTGTGTTTGCGGAGGAGGGTAGGATTCTTGAACTAAGCTACAAAGATACCTCTTTTCCAAAGTGAATCTTGGTTTCCATATTTTCCCTTCAAGATTTATGAGCAACTACCTTGTGTTCCAAGGGAAAATTATTTTGTGCAATTGATTAGTGGCATAACTCTGCCAGAGTAGATGGGTTGAGAAGTCCAATAGGGTTCGGCCCAAATTTTGTACGATTGATTAGTCGCATAACTCTCACCCATTTGCACCTAAAAACTGAAGTCAAAGACGTTGCAGCTGACATGAGCACCCCACGGCAAAGCCTATAACCTATGGTATCGGTATAGGGTCTAGTTATTAAATCTCTTACGGCAAATAGCAGTTTGCACTTTGAAAGATTAAATTTTTTTTTAATTTTACACCCTTAATTAAATGAATTTGTAGTAATGTGACTCCTACCATAATTTTTGTTGTGATTTTCATCAAATTATCAGCCATGTTAAATGCGCGTGATGACTTTTGTTAGATTATGGGACGCATCCTGTGACTCAGGTCTAGACCAGGGGTTCGTGTGCAACCAATCACCGGGTTCACCATGTATCAATTGAGCAAATGTACAACCAATCAAATTTAAGTACGCTGTAACAGAAAATACATAAGAGACTCTTGTAGATAGTTAGTTACTTTGTTAATCAGAATCGAGCATCGACTCTCTCTATAAAACACTCATCTCTTCCTTCATTACTGATCTTCTCTGTCCTTCTCCTTCCTTTCTTCCTACAATCTTGTTTTTCTATCTCCTTTGTTTTCTTGCACACAAAACCCAAAGTCATGGTGAAAAGAGGTAATTGCATCATGTTGGCACAAAAGGGGAAGTAAAACCCACCATATGGGTCCTCTGAGACCACCGAGGAATAGGAATATCGAATGGACTCGGAGGCCAAGCACTCTCTTTAAGGTTTGCGCTTATGTAGCCATTGGCCTGTTGGCGCTGCTGGTAATTGTCAGATTATATTCTCTTAAGACTGCATCTGTTGTTGATTATTTCTTGCCTGCATTTATGGGTTTTTTTTTTAATCTTTACTCGTTCTTTACTCGTGCCATCAAATTCACTTTAAGGAACAGTTTTTAATCATGTCATTTTGCATAAATAGTTTTCAATCATATTATTTCTCTTATTTTTCTGACATAATAGTTTTTCTTCATGCCATCACATTTAATTTTACATCAAAAGCTTTCCATCTAATTATTTCCATCATAGTTTTTGATCATATCACTTTGCATTCAATTTTGCTTGTCAGTTTTCCATCATCATATTCTGTCGGTCAGGGGCGGTCCAACACAAATTAGAGTTTAAAGTGAGAAAATTTTTTAAAAAAATTTACAGTATAATTTATTTTCAAAATTTTAGTAGTTTTGGGATTGTGCAAGATCAAACAATATATTGAGTGTAATTTTGAAGTCAAGATCTTATAGATGAATAAAATCTTAAAAAAATAACAATATAGCTAAAGCTACGGACAAAAAATCAAAGTAAGACAATGAGAATGGAAGGGAGAGAATGAGATTGAAAGAGATTGTTACTTTTAAGACTAACAGTCATTAATTTTAGATTTTTTTAGAAGACTTTGCTATATTTTAGAACTATTTATAAATATTTACATAAATTTGTGAAAATATTGTTACATTTTAGAATTTTCTATAACGCTTTAGACAAACTTGTGAAATATATTTGACTTTTAACTTGGTCATTTCAAAAGGGGCACACAACTTGAAGCTAAACAATGAGCTGAAAATTAAATTGCATATCTAAATTTTTTAGGCTCTAGGCGACTATTTTAATGGTCGGGCCTTAGGGCCGGCTCTACTGTGCCTTCTTTTATTTAAAAGCTTGAAGTATTTGTATATCTTGTAACAATTATAGTCTTTGCTTGTCCCTCACTATCAAGTCTTTGTCCATGGAATCGATTAAGTGAGACAAATTAATTACTGGATGATGCGCAAGGAGTAAAAGTGATATATGTATTATTTTATATTTTATGTATTTTTTCATTGACCGTTATATGGTACTATTATAATAAAAATGTTCAATATTACAATATAGTGTCACATAATTTTTCTTTTTTACTAATTTAGGCATTTAATATATATTAAACGTTATTGAATTTTTTTTATATTAACTAGTTTTTATTGTGGATCCTTTATGAGAATGAACAATTTAATTTGTTGGTAGTTTTGTGTTTAAATGACAACAAAGTTGAGTTTAATAAATAATATTTTTTTGGAAGAGAGATACTTATTATATTTTTTTATCGAAGTATTAACCCTTTTTTGTCTTTTAATAAATGTGTATGTGTGAGGTGGACTATACTTTTGGACTTAAATTTTAAATTTTATTTTTTGTGACATAATCTTTAAAGAGTTTTTTTGTTAAGTTAAATTATAATGAATTTTAATATTTGATCTATACTTTATTATTGAACTCAAAAAATTGGGCCTTTTTTATATATGGAGCCTAAAACCCATGCTTTTTTGGCTCTACTGGTGAGCTGGCCTTGCTGTCAGTTACTTCTTGCCATTTCTTGTTAAATTCTGATTAAAAAAAAATTATTATTTTTAAATTCTAATTAAATAAATGGTTTCTTTTTTAAAAATTTTGATATAAAAAATTTGATTCTTTTAACATTCTGATATAAAAAATGTTTTTTTTTAAAATTCTGATATAAAACAATGATTTTTTTTTTAAAATTCTGATGTAAAAAATGATTCTTTTTTAAAAAAAAATCTGATGTAAAAAATGATTCTTTTTAAAATTCTGATAGAAAAAATAATTCTTTTTAAAATTCTGATATAAAAATAATTCTTTTTATTTGGGATATATAAATTTTGAATGTTATATGAACTCCATATTTCATAGATTTCTTTATAATTAGAATATTAGCTCAGCGGCTTAGTGGGTGTTATATTTCTGGCAAGAATATGCTTATTTAAAAAAACGATGATTGAAAATAAATAAAATTTTAGATTTTTTTTTTTTGGGTTGGTTTCCTCTTCATTTGTTCCAACTTTTGACTGTTCTTTATTTGTGTGTGTGTGTGTGTGATTTGATTATGTTTGGAATCAGATGTTTGATGTTAAGATTGTTTCCCACGTGCCATCCGAATACAATACATATACAGGAGAGAGCAAATTAATGACTTCCATTTCAATCCTGAATTTATAATTCACAATAACAAAACTTAGTTTGCAAGTATTTTCACCGCACGTTACAATTTTCGTTCATTTGTTCGCCACATTCGGTAAAAGAATATGCGTTCGTTCGTTTGTTCCCCACATCCGTTAAAACAACAATAAAACTTAATTTACATGTATTTTCATCACACGTAATAATTTTCGTTCGTTTGTTTGTTCGTCACATTTGTTAAAAGAATATGCGACGTGCATGACTACTTGGATCCCTTGTTATGTTATTGTGAGTAATAAACATTATTGGAATTTAATTTCATAATCTACCATTAGGTTCTTGTACACGGAAAAAAATAGTGTTGCAATTCAACAAAAATCTTGCGGGAATAGTTATTGTTCTCAAGCTCTACTTTATTAATTATAATTAGACCGCACATAAGACTCACGGTTATTATTTTCTTCTGCACTTCAAAGCCAAGAGAATAGACTATTAATTTTTGTGGTAGTTTTAAAATAAAATTAACAAATTATGGCATTTATAATTTTTTTTTTATCAAAATAAGACTTTTTTTTTAAAAGTGAAGTTAGCAACTAGCTTTTAAAAGAGTGAATTAATTAGGGGTTTTATATACTCCTCCTTTTTGCATCTAACTGAAATATTGAAGAGCCTTTTTAAACAAACGTAGTGGGATTGTTGACTCTATTTTTTAACAAAATGATTCTTTCTTTTTGAAAAAATGCTGTAATTTAGTAAATAATAGCTTAGTAATTTTATTTTAAAATTGTCATAGATTAGTAAATAATTCAATGCCAAGATACGCAATTCCAAGACGAGTCTAATCCAAAGATAAAAAGGACTAGGACTATTCTCCTGATCTAACAAAAAACTACTCCATCGCCATAAAAAAACGACCGCTTCTAATAAAATATTGACACTAATTGCTAGTTAATTACAAAATTATACCAAAAAAAAAAAAACTATCCAATTGAAGAATTGAGAGTTTGGGTCAAATTATAAAACTAACTCATTGGATTTACTGAATTAAAAGTGAATCCCACTTCAATTGGTACAATGCATTATTAGTTCTCTCTAAATATAAGTAGAGATCAACTCTATAATTGTTAAGTAATAATTCTATTCTGTATCAAGTGGGAGCCCCAGCCCCAGCCCCAGCCCCAGCCCCAGCCCCTTGCAATATGTCATATTTGATTTTTTGGTATTCAACAATATCATATTATCAAAATACAAACAATAGTGTTGCAATTTAATCAATATCATATTTATCTATTATATATTCGACTTATTTGATTGTCGTATTAGAAATGAATAAATTAGATAAAATAATTCAATTTAATTAGGGTATTAGAATAATACCTAAATTTATCTAGTGTTTTGTTAGGAAATAATTTCATCATATTAACGTTAAATTAACAAAAATACTCTCAATCAGTATTTGTTATGTTGATGACAACTTGATTTTATCAGTTGGGGGCTATAATAGTAAATATATAGAACAATATGTTTGAATTGAATTATAATACTACCTATCTTAGTGGTATTAAAATATCTCCATGATATAAGTCTGTCGTACAAAAAATATATAATAAGTATACGTTTTTACAATTAATACGATATCAAATTTGTTTATCAAACTAAATATTAGGTCTGATTAAATAAAAAAAATACAATCTAATATTGAATCCTTTCATAATACGTCTATCAAATTATCTCATTATGTATACATTAATTTTATATATAGATATAATGATAGAATATATATCAATTTTTTTTTTTCATTTTTTCACTTTTTTTTATCTTACCAAACACAAAAAAATCAAGGGGATGTTTTGTTTGTGTCTCCTAAATAGTTTTCTATTCTCAAAAACTATAAAACTCTTAAGATGCTGTTTGGACAGCAAATTTCAAAAACAATTTAAAAAAAATAAGTGGGAATGAGAACATTAAATGACATTCTTTGAGTTTTTAAGTTAAAATAAAAAACAAGAAAAACAACTTTTAAACTCTTTAACGAGGCCACCCTTTACGACAAAATTAGTTATAGCATATAGGCTTCCCTATTTATTTATTTATTTTTTGCCTTCCTCTCTCCCAGACTCTCTTTCTCTCTCTCTCCACTTTGCCTCTCAGACAAAATGAACACACACACATAGAGCCAACGTATTCTTCGGCGAAGGGTCTTCTTCGGTGATTAGAGGTCGTCTTCTTCAACAAGTGAGAGTTCTCTGGTGAAACCAGGGCTCTCCTTGATTCTCTTTCTTCCTACTTTGGCAAAACTAGATGAGAACACACACACACGAATTATCTGGCAATCTCCGGGGTCTTCTCCGTCTTTTCAAGGTCTGAGTTCTAGATCTCCTTCAAAATCTTCTTCTCCAGTTATTATTATTATTATTATTATTGGCATCTGAGTTCAAGATCTCCTTCATTTCCAACATTTTTTTTTTGGCATTTGGAAACCTATTTGACAATTGGGTCTTCTCATGCAATGCAGTTTAGTGTTTTCCCCTTTTACATACACACAACGTAGATCTAAGTTATTTCAGGGTCTTCTCCGGCAAGTGGGTCTTCTACGACAATTAGGTTTGTCTTCTTCGTTGTATACCAGAGACTGGGTTCGTCAAATCTTTGCTTCTCTTTCAATATGTTCATGTTATGGATCTTGAATGTTGGGATTTAAGTTACTTGGATTACTCCAACGAAGCTCTGACAACAAATCTAGCTAGATTTTTCCTCTTTTTTTTTTGTATTTTAACAAGTTTAAAATATTAAAATATTTTTATATAAAATCGTCGATCCAAACAAATTTTAAATTTTACTATTTTTGAGATATAATTCAAACATGGCCCAAAATTTTCTATTTTCATTCGCCCAACCAAAGACACCATAATTTTCTATTTTCATTCGTCCTACCAAACACAAAATAAAAGACTTGGTCTAAATATTCAATATTTCTAAAGTTGAGTTTAAATTAGGTTCGGTTAACTTAACCAAGTTATAGTCTCAATCATTCATTTTTTTTTGTTTTTCTGGATTTTTTTGTCTCAACCATTCATTTCATTGTACAAACATTATTCTAAACTTTGATTCTTCTTGCCATACACTATTGCTGCCAAATGCTTTCAACTGTTGGATGTCGTGTGTCACGCTACCTTCTCTCACGTCCTCTTCTACACCGAATTTCCATGTGTGTGCAATCAACGCTTTGAATTATCTGGTTTAAACAACTTCTAGCTCATGACCCCCAAAAAAAAAAAAAATCTAGTTGTTTTTAGGAAATTTTTTTATATGAAAACAAAAAAAGTTTCAGTAATTAGTTAACATGAACGTAATCCCCCTTAAATACCTGAAAAATATTTTAAAAATAAAAAAATAAATAATTTGAAAATTAATTTTTAAAATATTCTGAAACATCGGTTAAAATATACCAAAATAATTTAAAACACATCAAAATAAAACAGAAATATTGGTAGAATAGATTTCGAAACATTTCAAAATACCTTGAAATATTATAATTTTGATTTAATCTTTTTGGAAATAGAATTGTTTGGTCGTTTTGATGATATTTTGATACTTCCATAAAATATTACACAAAGATAAAGACAAAATGATTATCGATTTATCATATGAGACTTTAGACAAATTTAAGAAAGAAAAGCCAAAAAAAGAAAAAGATGGACTAAAGCAGAACAACATCGGATCATCCACCATACACATTCAACAGCAACGGCAACAACAACAACAAAATAAACAAGCAGAGGTAGGAGGATGAACGTAAATCATCAATTATTATCACAATCACAATCACAGTGTTATCTTACACGCAAACGAAAAGGAAAGAGAGAGAAAATCAAGTCCGGCAACGAGTAATGGCACTGCATCCACGGGTGTACGGATTAGCCTCTGCTCCCGGTTGGCAGTTGTAGTAGGAAGCGCCTCTCTGAGAGCACGGAACAGTATTCCTCTGCAGAGCACCGTAGCTTATGTACTTAGTGGTTGCTAATATGCGCCGGTTGATCTCCGAATCCATCGCAAATTCGCCGTCGACCATGCACTCTGCTATGGAGCCTTGGCAGGCCGGTTTCGCTGGCATCCAGCTGAACTCGTGGTGGCCTCCTCCGGCTTCGGCAGAGATAATCAGAGCTCCGATCAACAAGAAAGAGATCGTCAGTTGGAAATAGGAAGGCTTTGCCATTGATTGTTTGTTTGACTGGGGGGGATGTTTTTCTTCTTCGAGTTCTGCTCCCAATATGATTTTCGAACGTTGAGTTTGTTTAACAAGACAAGAAAGCGGGCTGGCACTGCCGGCCATTTTAATTAGTTTACTTTTAATAAAATGGGCTCTACTTTTGTTGTTATCCACCAAATTGCCACTCCCCTTATTTATTTGTGAAAATTATAGTTTGACGCCCTCTGATTTCAGCCAGGAACACTTTGTATGCGTATATTTTAAAAACTTACACATTACCCCTTAAAATTAATCATTTATTTACTAATAAAATAGAATAATAGCCTTTATATTTAGATTTTTAAAAATCTAAATTAAAACATATGAAGAGAAGAGAGAAAAAATTGAATAACTTTACAAAGAGAAAAATAAAAAACAATATGTGTAACCCCCTTCAAGTTTTGCATATGTCAAGCTTGCTTTTTTTATTGGAAAAGAGTTCAATGGCCAGCTGGGTTTCACATGCATGTGGTGCCCATTGGTTATCTCGTAATTAGATGAAGAATAATGGTAATGTTGGTAAAACAAACTACCAGCCCACTGGGTTGTCAACCAGAGGAGGGATCTACCCTTTGCCACTTATTCTTTATTTATTTATGAACTGTTAATGGTTGTTGTGTAAATATAAAATTATATATATACATATAGGTATATATATATTTGGAGGAATCACACTTTGTACCCTCAAAAATTAAATTTTTTATATTATATCCTTAATGTATTAATAGTGTTGTAATGTGGTCATTCTTAACTCTGTTGCTCATTTCCGTCAAAAATCACCAAATGAAAGTTGACAAAATGAGCAACATAAACTAACAAGAGGACTACATTAATAAATTGACAGTTTAGTATCAAAAATCTAATATTTGAGAATATAAAATTAAAATTTTGAAAAAATTTTGGGTACAAAATATAATTCGTCTTTTATATTTGTAATACTTGTACAACCACCACCGGCAAGAGTTTAGTTGTCCTAATCCTTGAGCCAATAATTAAAATAATCAGAGAACCTAACACAAAGACTTGAGGGTTAAAAAAGGAATCAAAAACTCGTTGAAATTAGGCGGCCATACGTTGAATGAAACTTTTTAATCTTGATGGTAATTTACCAGTTCAAACGTGTCCTCATTGCTATCCTGAAGTTGGGTTTCTTTGGGTTCGCGAATAATGTGACTTTTTCAAAACCTACCACAGAAAACGATATGATCAATTTCAGAAGTCAGACCATACTCTATACACACGTACGGTTGATGGACTAATTCAGATTTCAAGCTGTCTCAAACGTCTACCCAGAGAAAAAACCTTTCATCATAAAAAAGTGTGGAAGAAATTTTCTTTAAAGAGATATAATCAAATCAAAATAAACTAAGCTAAATTTTGTCTCATAGGGTCGATTGTATGAGTTCGATCTTTAATGATATTTCATGACAGCATATTGGTCGAAAAATTTACTTACATATATAATGGGTAAGACTTAAATTTGTAACAAGAAATAAACGGTGAAAAAAAATTGAGAAAAAAATATAGTTGTTGGGATTTTGTACAACCAACAAATATTTTGATTACAATAGGGACAGAGGGGAGTGGGTTGGAAGAAGAAGAAGCAGAAGAAGGAGGAGGAGGCAGACTTTGAACAATGGTTCAAGAGAATGCACTAGCATGGTTCAATCATCGGAAATAAAATAGCCATCTGGCTAAGCATAAATACTCAATTAGAACATTCTGTGTACTCTACAATTGCTTCTTTTTTTTTTTTTCCAAGGGATGTTTGGGTTAATTTATGTGCAACTCCATTAATCTTCTTTTAGATTCGATTAAAGATAGACCATTCACGTCGGGATTAAAATATTCATGAGGAATAAATCTCTCGTAGCCTGACCCTAAAAAAATTATCAAAATTTAAATTTAGAACATCTGAATTTAAAATTTATCTTTATTAACACTTGAGCCTCCCACCCCCACCCCAATGCCACTTATTAAATGGTTCCCCAATCTCACTTCTTGAACGGAGAGAACCATTTATTATAGAAATGAAACTACAACAATGTTTTCGAAGAAATCAAAACTATTACTTTATTTTACTTGTAGACTTTATAGAATTGCTCAAAATTTGAGCTGAGCTGTACTCTCAAAGCCCAAACCAACATTATTTTTCAAGGTTGTTATAGCTGTTTGAAAAAAGGGTATGGACAAAAATGAGTGTGCAGAAATCACTTTGATAATCTCTTATTGATGGAATCATAAAATTTTTAACTGTGTCCGTTACTCTTATCCAAAATTCTTATACGAATAGGAATATAATAACATAGCCGGTGGAATATCAAGGTCCCAGAAAGAAACGTAAAAAAAAATAACAAGGAGGAGGTCCAGAGTACATTGAACTTGGAAGGCTACCAAGAGAACAGTACTTGATCAGAAGAATACATGGTCAACCAACTATACATTTCCAATTCATAAATTGAAACTTTCTTTTACCTACCCAGTGGGAAAGCGAATGTTCAGATAAATACTAATTCACGAGGAAGAAACAACTGTGAGTTCAAAAAGCTCATAAGAAAGCAGCAAAAAAAAAAAAAAACTTATATATAGAAATGATGAAAACATTATTAAAATCTCGATTCTTATCGTAGAATTGTAAAACAAATTGATCTGTGTTTATTGTAAAATTCCGAACTTATAAGATCAAAATGGATCATAATAAAGATCTTATAGGATCGCAGAATCTTGATCCAAATTGTAATTTGTTGTATTTGTTTATTTGATGCACTAAATTATTATGTTAATTCTAGCAAAAAAAAATTATTATGTTAATCCAATCCATTGTTATTGTTTTAATAATTAAAGAGATAATCCAAATTTGGTTATAGTTAATCTATTGGGAATTTTGGCAGATAAAAAAAGCTACAAAATGTTTTATTTGTCACAAAAACTTTTCTTCATTCATTTATCTTTTTTATTGAAAAGTTGAAAGCAACGATTATGTTTGATCTCCTTTATTGATGAGTAATCATAGTCAGATAATCTTTCATTTGTATTCTTCACACCCTTTTTTTTTAAGATCTCGAACAATCAAAGTTATTTATTCAGCAATCTATCAATTTTTTAGTATCTCCTTTATATCGGTCTCTCTTTAAAAGTTAAAGATTAAAGTAGTTCAATTTTACTATCTTTTTATAGAATCTCACAAGATTAACAACCTACTTTTGATTTTCGACTTTCTTTAATGCTCAAATTATTGTGATTTATATTTATCATAATATTCTTGTTTACCTAAATGCTATGTTTGTTTAATTCTTATTTTTAAGAATTTTTTATTGTTTTATATTTTTTGTCCCATTTTTTTAGGTGGAAGGATCTTATGATTCTCAATTTGATTCTATAATTTCGATTCTTTAGCCTCCCTCCCTCGGTTGATTCAACATAGGATCCCCATTTTGAAAATCTTCCAAAGCACCATCAGAAAGCATGATTCAAAACATGACGATAGCAAACCCCATGAACTATAAATCAATGATTTCCAATGGATTCTTAGAGTAGTCTAGCCCATACCTTACATTCTAAAAACTCAAGATTAAAAGCTTTGAATTTCAAGAAACTCATCTCATTTCATGGCATGAAATGGTAGAATTCAACCTTGAATTGTTATGCATGTTGGGTATGGTTGTTGATTACTAACTGTTGCATGAATAAGTGAGTTCAAGACTATTAAACAATTATTTATTTAAAAAATTTAAAATGTTAAAAAGTGTGTAGTTTAAGTATTTTTTTTGGCCTAGCATGTGAAAATCTTTTTAATCTTTAGGATGATGGTGAGATTCGAATTCAAGACCGTTTACTCTGATATTAAGATAAACAACTATCTACTCTAAAAATTTTAAAAGCGAAACTAGTAAAAAAGAACCAATTCACAACTTTGAACTAATTAATAGTAACTTTGGGCTAAATAAGCCCTTTGAGTAAAAACAAATTTTGAGGTAAATAAAGTCCAAAATCCTTTTGAAAGGAGGAATTTAAAGGAATTGCAAAACAAACGTACATATTCTACAAGAATGCAATCACCTAAACAAACAGTTGGAGGGACCGTGTCATTAACGAAGATGATAATATAACTATGGATGGGTCAAGACGTAGGAAAAGTCTCCGTCAACTCCGAAAGCAGATGCTTAGGTTCTAGTCTTCATCCATCTGGTGGTTGGATGCAATCTAATAGTTAGTATATATTGAGATGCTATAAGAAAGTGATTCACGACTCAATTGTTTATCATATTCTGAGTGAGTGAAAACTTAATAATATACATTGAAGTAATAAGAACAAGATTCAGAACTTAATTTCACCCTCTACTCCGGCGGACTAGGCATGTTTCATCATTCCACCTCAATAGTTCTTAGGGAAAGATCCGTTAACATGTTCAAAGCCCCTTTTTCTTTTTTTGGTGACAAAGTAATTTCCCTTCTAATGAGTCCATTTTTTAGTGAAACTTATCACAACTCCGTATTTTCAATGAATTAAAAAAAAAGAAGAAGAGCAAGTTAAACATTCACAAACTGTAAGTGATTTGTGACTGCACTATTGATTGAGCTTGCTTCTCAAAATCCACTATTGACTGAGTTTGCTTCTCAAAATCTTCGTACCACATGCACAGGGTTGGCTAAAATCTGAAGCCCCATTGACCATATTACAATTGGCTGTCTATATAATGAATAAAAATGCTTTTAAATAAATGGCATAGCAGATTGTGTATTGTCCAGTTGGAGCTCAAATACAAACACCAACAAGGCTGCAACTGCTTTGCAGGTAATTAAGAATAAGTTCGTCCAAGTGGTTGCGAGTTTTTTCGTCGACTTGAATTTAGACAAAAATCTAAATTTCGATTATCAAGTTTAACTTAAAACTCTACCAGTCACAGTTAACCAAATTTGAACATATTCTACAAACTCTACACAATTACGGCCTCTTCTTGCGGCATCAATGCACGTTATAATGCATCAAGCCAACCAAGCATTTGCCATCCGCTCCGCCAGAAGTTGCCCGGGTTGCTTGGAATTGAGTTTCTTCGTCTTCTTAAACTTTTGCGAGCGATAGTAGAATGATGTTAAGTAAATTATGTTCAAAATATGCATCTATGCTGTGCTAAAAAGAAAAAAGAAGAAGATATCTGGGTGTTGATGCCTTCCCTTCATCGTGGATCAGTAGCATTATTTCTTCATCCTCCAATTAAAGTGATCACTCACCAATACACCATGAAGGATCTTACCTTCGAGAAACCGAGGAAAATAACATTAAATTTAGATCCCCGTTTTTGTGTACCTTAGAGTTGAAAAGAAGTCACACAAGAGAAAACAATACAATTTTGGCATGTATAGAAGCTTCTATTGAATTATTCCGAGAGAGAAGTCAGAGTTTCATAGTTTTCTCATATCTTGGTATTGATACATTACAGTTCCAGTTGACACCCATTTGAACAAACGATTACAGATAGTTTTTTTTTTTTTTTATTCTGCGAAGCCCCAATTTCATAATCACACTGTGATCTGCCATGGAGCAAGAAGCATCATCATCATTAGAAAAATGGATGATCAAAGGCCTCCTACTCCTAGGTATGGCTCCATGACACCAAGAACATCATGGTTCTGATGGGTTCTTCTACACCAGATCTCTGGTTTCGTCTCTCAATTTCTTTGGAAATTGAAACTCCCCTTCCCTTTGAAGTTCCATGTCCAGCCACCATGGTGACCACCGCTGCCCCACAAGCTTGCCTGAGCTTTTCTCCGATCGTTCTCTTCGATTCGTGAATCAAAGAGCTATCACCGGACAGGTTTTGAGGTTTCATCCTCAAATAATTTTTTTTTGCTAAGGCTAAAAAAGATATAGAATTCAAATACTGAAGGTGGGTGTATACTTATAGAAAAGTGCCCTCCATTATTAAGAGAGAGAGAATGGGAATACTGTTGATGCTTGTTGGTGGGGTCCATGTGGCCTTTTGAAAAAGACTAGATTCGACATGTTCGCGGAATACAGATCAGCTTAATAGTCGATTTGGTGATCCATCTAGTCAGAATAATTCATCCTCTCATTGAGAGGTAAAAATCATATAAACGACCCCTGGGGTTTGTAGGTATGACATTCTGTCCCCAAGGTTTGAAAAGGGAGGGGGAGGGGATTCTAGGATCCACATAATTTAGAGTACACTTTCTCTTCAATTTTTTTCTTAATATGTTAATGAGTGAGAAATTCACCTGCATACAATAAATCTCACTTAAATACATGGAGGATGATGTGTGAAAAAGAGAATTAAAGAAAAAATTTATTAGAGAAAATTTTACTCCGAAATTTTGTGTGAGGATGGGAGACAAAATACGGAGAGAAAAGTTGGGTTTTAGGTTGATGGAAAAGTGAAAAGGTGAAACTATCGTTATAACATTTTCATCAATTCCATTAGTTGACCAAGATTGACTATAATTTCTCAAAACCTTAGGGGCCAAATTGTACTTAAGGGTTGTTTGTGTAATTTATCTTTTTCTTTTGTTTTTAATATCTATGTTCGTCTAATATCATATTTACACAATGGGCCTCTCCCTTTAAATATATTACCCTCTGTTTTTCAATTTGTCCAAGTTCGGATCAGATTTTCAATTGGTTGTAATTGTTTGGAGAATCTAGATCAACTTATTTGTATTTTAATTAATTCTCTCTTCAACCCAAGCAAAGACAGACCATACACGTCGGGATTAGAGTGTTCATGAGGGATAAATTTTTTAAGGTCTAACCTCAAATAATTGTCAAAATTTAAACTTAAAATATTTAAATTTACAACTCATCTTGATATTATTTAACCTATAGTCAAGGTTTACTTTGCTTTCTACAACCGCTTATGGATTAAAAAAAAACCCTCCCAGGCATGAATCACAATTGATGGTTAGGTGGCCGCTCTGAATTTCCACATATAGCAATTAAAATAATAATGAACCAATGTGGGATATTTTAAAAAATTTAACCTTTTTTTTTTTTTCCCCAAAGAGTAGATTTTCTACTAGAAGAGCAATGCAACTAGCATGATGATAATGATACACAAAATGGGCAAATGAATGCATTTCCTCACAAAAAAAAATATACGATTTTTATTTCATCAAATTAGTAGTTTAGAATTTTATAATATAAAATTTCTAACACGTCGAGAATCTTTTGAGATGCCACTTTATATTCAAAATTTTCTTCTACGAGAGTTGGAGTGGAATATTTAGCCCGGAACATTTGAAGGGCAATGATAAGAGTCACTAGTATTAATAATATTATGTGCATACATCCGTCCTAAGATGCCATAATATAAAATCCACTTGTTGATCTGCCTAATGTGGGTACTCTTTCATTCGATTCTCATGTTCTTTTTAATTGTTCTATACAGGTTAAGAACAACTTTTTTTTCTTCTTCTTTGTTGCTTTATTTTTCATATAAAAAGAGTCCATAAATTTCTGGTATTGTATTTTGTTTTGTAACCTTTTTTGCCTCAACACCGACAGGCCTTGAGTATTGGAATCAAGAAGCACTACTCTTTGTTGAAAAAAAGGCCTGAAATTCATGTGGGCTTAAGCACATCGAAGGACAATTTCTATCTGGCAGGGCCAGGCCTCCAAATTGTTGGACAAACATTTTCACAATCCAAGCATTGGCAACATCCCTTAAAGCATCTATAATAATAAAAATTAGTTTAGTTACTCAAAAAATAATATTTTTTATTTTAACTACCCACTTTTTTAATACACACTTCAAATTTTTTTTTATATTTTTTATTCATTTCTTTAAATATTATTTCTCATTTTTTTGTATTAATTTTTTTGTGAGAGTAGTGAAAGAGAGGGAGGGAGAGAGAATGGAAGAAAGGAAAAGATGAGAGAGAAAATGCTATAAAGTTACTACACTAGCACTCTAAATATAGAGTTTCGCTGCAATAAAATATTATTTTAAATGTTCTACAGATGTTTTGTTGGAATAAAATTTTAAAATATTTGTATGCTTTAACTTCTATCTTGAAGATGCTCTTAAACAATTGTTTTGGTGATTATTGTTCGGTTTTGGTAAACATGGCTCATAGGCAAAGTTGAGGCCCAAGAAAACCGAGACAAAAAGAGAATTCGAATGGCATTTTTTCCTGCTATTCATTGACAGTGGGAGTTTTTTTTTTTCTTTTTGGTTACATATAAAATAGATATGTAGATAGGTTATTTTACGTATCGGTTAGAGAGTATAATCCCTCATCACTACATAGTTATATGCAAAAGACATTACCGTACTTATGTTGGGGCCTGAAACTAAAATCTTATCACGTGTTCTGGGCGCTGAAGAGTAAAAAAAAAAAGTCTTACCAAACTGTCATAGGATATAAAGATTCGAACTCAAATATTGAGCGAAGAAATTTGGATTCTTATCCACTGGACGAGCTGCTAGGTGATGATGGTGCTAATTTTTTGGAGTAAAAAATGAGATCCTTTTTAATACATATTTTTTTTCAATTATGTTTTTATCAACTTACCTACCATTCATTCAAGTAAGATTTATTATATATAATTACTTACCCATTAATTGATAATATGCTTAAAAAATTTGAAAATAGAATGAATCGGAGGTGGTGTTAGAACAAAGGGTCCAAACAAATATATTTCTTATGGAACTTAGAAGAGGAAAACTGAGCACGAATAGCGCCGAGTTTTCTCCACGGAACTAAAAAAATGCAAGAGTGCGGCATTTTATCGAATAGTTGGAAGACTAATGAGGAGAAAGGCAGAAAACGAGTATGAGAACATTTCCGCAGCTGAACAGTGCAGCAAACAGAATTCTCCATCTCATAGGTACATGCACTTCACCAGCTCACATCCAACAAATCCAAGCACAACTCATTCTCCGCAACCTCCACTCCAACACCACAATTGCTTACCATTTCATCACTGCCTGCCAATCCTTAAACCTTTTGGACTCGGATTTCCTCTACACCCATCTCCAAAGACCCCACGTCTTCATTTGCAACACCCTCATTAGAGCCTTTTCTTACTCCCAGTCCCCTCAGAACTCTATGTCTGTGTACGCTCATATGCACAAAAACTCCATTTCTCCAAATAATTACACCTTTCCCTTTCTTCTCAAGTCTTTGTCAGACCTTAAAGAGCATAAACAAGGCCAATGCATACATACCCAGACCACAAAATTGGGCCACTTTAATGATATTTATGTCCAGAATTCGTTATTAAATTTATATGCATCGTGTGGTCATATGCGCAAGTGTCGACATCTGTTTGATGAAATGCCTCAAAAAGATGTTGTGACATGGACCGTCATGATTACAGGGTACCGGGAGGTTGGGAAGTTTGATGATGCGTTGATTGCTTTTGAACAGATGCAATATGCCGGCGTAGTTCCGAATCGGGTGACAATGGTAAATGCCTTAGCTGCATGTGCGAGTTTTGGGGCACTTGACATGGGTATTTGGATACATGACTGTATAAGGAGGAGTGGGTGGGAAATGGATGTGATTTTGGGGACTTCCTTGATTGATATGTATGGAAAATCTGGGAGAGTTGAAGAGGGCTTGGGTGTTTTCCAAAGTATGAAAGAAAAGAATGTATATACGTGGAATGCCCTTATTAAAGGGCTAGCTCTGGCCAAAAGTGGAAATGAGGCTGTTTGCTGGTTTTCAAGAATGGAGCTAGAGGGTATAAAACCTGATGAAGTGACTTTGATAGCAGTGCTCTGTGCTTGTGCATATTCTGGGATGGTGCAAACAGGTCGGGAAATATTTTCTTCATTAATTGAAGGGAGGTACGGGTTTTCACCAGGTGCCAAACATTATGCTTGTATGGTTGACCTCTTAGCACGTTCTGGGTGTCTGGAAGAAGCTTTCAAAGTCATAAATGAAATGCCATATGAATCTACTAGAAGTATATGGGGTGCCTTGCTTGCTGGCTGTAGAGCTCATGGCAACCTAGAGTTGAGTGAATTTGCAGCTTGGAAGCTCGTAGAGTTGGCACCGGGGAATAGTGCTTATTATGTGGTGTTGTCTAATTTGTATGCTGAAATGGAAAGGTGGAGTGATGTGGAAAAGGTTAGGCGGTTGATGAAAAAGAGGGGACTCAAAAAGGACTTGGGTTCTAGTTCAGTAGAACTTGAGCAGCCCCAGGAGCATCTTAATGACTTATTAACATGACAAGACCCATTGTCTTTGCTCACAAAGAAATAAAATTGATGCATCAACATACCTTCCTATATGCATCTGAATTGTTTCTTTGGACTTAAAAAGAATTTGATGCAGATTATAAAGGCCACGCAAACTGCTGAGCTTTTGCTTCTCAACCAATAGATTGATGAGATTATGTAGATTAATGACTTATTAGCAACTCCAGCAGCATTCTGAGATATATTAAGAAAGATACATTCCTTCTTGTTTTTGTTATTTTCATGAATGGATAGTAAACTAGTGTGATTTTCTTTGCTGTGTTGGGTATTGCAGTGCAATACCATCCTTTTTCAGTTCAACTTTGAGCATCCTGAGTTTCATTGCTATTGTAAGGAAATTACCTGTTTTCCACACATCTCTCGAACTCAACACGAACTCCCTGTTCAAGTCATCTGAATTCTGGATCAGATGATAAATTAAACTCACATTTCCTCTCTTTCACCTTTACATGTGCCTACTTGCATATGCGCGTGTATATATGGGCACAAAGGAATTGCAGATAAAAGAGAAGTCCTTGTGAACAAGGAATCGCAGAATGAGTGGTTTGTCATAAACACTGATTTATCACTACCCAATTGGGAACTTTTGGGCTTTAACCACTTCATGTTGCAAATGGGAATGACAATTTACGACTCTAGATCATGCCACATCAATTTGCCAAGGAGGGAATGAATTTTATTTGGTGATGACCAACAAAGATCATTGGCCTCTTCACATTGCATTATGGATGATACATTATTTTCGTGTCTTCTCATCAAAGATTTGAAGACAGGAAGATTGAAAAGAGAAAATCACACACTCTTCCCATCAACGGTAGGATGATAGGAAGATAGAAGACACAACAAACACAGAAAATAACATGCCGCTCCAAGGCTGATCAACACTAAAAGCTTATTAGTTCTACTTCATCTCCAAAACCTTTAACCAAGCTGGCCTTGTCATGATATCAGCACACCATGCGCTCACATGGGGGCGACAATCAAACAGTGCTTTGGCTTTTGTAGCCATCAAGTACTTCATGTTAGGAAGGTGGTGCAGATCAGCCAAGGTGAAGCAGTCTCCACCCAAGTACTTGGACTGAGCCAATCGAGCCTCATACACGTCAAGAACCTTTGACAGCTTACCTTCATACTCCTCCACCACTGCCTCATCGGTAACCATGCCAAACATTGGCTTTAGACAAAGCTCCCAGGTCAGCTTTGAAGCTGCCGGGTCAAATTGGTGTGCCTCCACTTCCATCCAGACAGATACGATTGCCATCTTCTTTGTGTCATAAATTACAAGCTGGTTCCCCTTGTCCGCGTATGTGTGTGCAATATATTGGGTAATTGCCCTTGATTCTGTGTAACATTTTGTCAAACACATTATAGACATACAGATTAGAGTAATACACAGTGACTTCAGGTTTATGTTTCGTTTGGTAAGATGAAAAAATAAAAAAATAAAAGAATGAAAAGTGAGAGAGCAAATAAAATATCATGTTTGATAAAAAAATAAAATAAGAAAGATAAAAAAATATATGAATTAACTTTCCTTTTAACTCGTCAAAATTAATTCTTTCAACATTAAGAGAAAAAGTGGAAAAAAATATAATTATATCCGTTGAAATGCATGCTATTTGTCTATATATTCTTTAATATATAGATATATCATATTTATTAATTACATATTATATATGCATTAATTTCATATATATAGATATAATGATAAAACATGTATAAATTTATAGATTTATAGTCAAGACAATATATATTTTTGTGAAGTATGCATACATTTATAGAGTTGAAGTTCATTGATTGTTGTTCACTTGTTTGAGAACTCCGGTCAAATATATACGATATTAAAGTGTATATGTTCTATACTCTTTCCATAGTGGAAGATATGGTGAAATGATAGTGTTGGGAGTTTCTTACTTTATTTTCTTTTATAGAAATATCAAAACTACTTTATTGAGAGCATGTGTATGTGTATAGGCATAGGAACTTACCAAAAAGCTTCAGATCTCCGTCTTCTAAAGCTGGTACTTGACCAAATGGCTACATCAATCAGAAAAAAGGATGTCATGTCACTAAAAGAGCAAAAGAGGAGCAGAAAACAAACCCTCCTAGGACTATCCGGCCATGATTAGATAGATCTGCAAATCGAGTGATTTTTGCAGCAAAACAAGCAAATTTGGGCTCATGAATCAGAGTTACATGAGTTCAAGAAGCATATATTTAGCCTTTCTGCTGTTAATTGGGCGTTTCTCTACTTAACTAGTTTGTGTGTGTGTGTGTGTGTGTGTAGATTTCAGTTCAAGTTGGGGTTAAGCTCACATTGAGGGAAATGAAAGGCTCCTTTTTGTGCTCGCCGGCGGCCATGTTGACCGGTACAAACTCATACTCAAGCCCTTTCTCGTTGAGGCAAGCAAAAACTCGCTTTGCAGCAGTTGAGATTACACTTCCATGGACTTTGATCGCCATTACTGTTACTAAAGATTGATATCAGAATACAAACAAGGAGAAGAAGAAGAATGATGGGCTTGAAGGAGAAGATGGTATATGCCTATATTTATAAGCCAGGACCGGGATTGGGTGTCCATGTTCCACACTCTAGAATGCTTTATAATTAGTGGGTGGGTTGGACCAATCAGTGCTTGACTGCTGTTTCAAATCGCCCAAATCTTTGAATATCAGTTACGGATCCGACGACCTTTTTTTTTTTTTTTTTAACAAAGAAAGAATCATTCTAGAACTTTCGCATAAAAGTGTAAATAATAGAGGCCTTATACACACAGAATTCAAAGGTTATCCGATATTGGAGAATCCCAGCCCATCACCGCTTAGGCCTGAAGGCCTATCCGAACCGTTTTTGGCCGAGGTCGAGAGAGATGCAACTGAGCCCACAATAGACACATCAGACAAACGCACACACATAAATTTCTTGTTTTTTTTTAACAAAGAAAGAACTACTCTTAAACTTCTAATTAAAAGTGGAAGTGACAAAGAACCTTATACACACACAACCCAAAAGCTATCCAATGTGAGATAGTCCCGATCTGAAGACTTCATAAGAGGACTTTGGTCCTATCCGAAGTTCGACACTTCTCTCTAATAGTCCTTTTCTTTGTAAATAGTAAATGACCAAAAAAAAATTCATATAAAAAATTTAAAAAAGTGAAGATCCAATTATATCAAATTATGTGGAATTGAGGTTGATGATATCAAAAATTAGCTAATGTTAAACTCGAATCTCTTAGCTCGAACATGTAAGTTCAGACCTCTTAGCAATATTATCAGAACCAGACCGGTCATCGAACCGACAAAGGGACTGGGTCAATGATTCACTGGTTCAACCGTTGGGTCAACTGGTCGGACCGGTCATATAATAAAAATATATATATAATAATTATAAAACTTAATAATTTAGCTAAAAAATATAAAATATGTATAAAATACATAAAATTTGCCATAAAATTAATGAAATTAAGTAACAAAATAGAAATTATTGTATTTTAAAACAAAGTAACGAGGTTCAAATAAATTATAAAGAAAAAGAAGGGATGTCATTTATAATTTTTCTAAGAATAAGGTTAAAAAAAATCAACTATTTACTGATTTAGGGCAAAAAAATTGATTTATGTAATTTAATTTTTAAAAATTGATTTTTGTTAAAAATCGGCCGATTTTTCGATTTTTAGCTGGTTCGCTTCCTTAAACGATTCAACTAAGGAACCAGACCGGTTAGGGTCCCGATTCACGGTTGAACTGGTCCGACCGACCGGTCCGGTCTGGTTCTGATAACAGTGCCTCTTAGCTCATGGTATGGTGGTCGAGAATAATCACCGACATGACCTTCGTGTACACGGTAACAATAACAACTCGTACCTTCCAAAAAATCATGTCACGCTTAAGGAATATAACCTTTAACAACACTTCTTTCTAACAGTTCTTCTCTTTGTAATAGTGAATAACCAAAAAAAAAAATCATTTAAAAAATTTAATGAAGTAAAGATCCAATTATATCAAATTATGTGGAATTGAGGTCGATAATACCAAAAATTAGCTAATGTTAAACTCAAATCTCTTAGCTCGACCATTTAAGTTTAGACCTCTTAGCTCATGGTACACTGGTCGAGAATAATCACCGACATGACCTTCGTGTACACGGTGATAGTAACAACTCATATTTTCCAGAAAGTCATGTCACACTTAGGGAATAGAACCTTTAACGACCAAATATTCTGGCACATGGATCGTAATAGGCCCAAGAGGATCATGTTGATTATGCAAGGATCGCATTGGTTACGGGAGAATCGTAAAGATCACGCAAGATAATTGTATACTATAAATAGGAATCAAATCCCTTGTATTGTAATTACCCAAGCATCTGTTTTATCAACTCTATGTAATTTTGTAATATTCTTCTCCCAAATAATAGAAAACTCACAATGAGCAAGAGATTTCATTAGAGCGGACTAGCCAAACTTTTGAACTAATACACTATTATAAATTCCTGGCCTATTGATCTCTATTCTTAATTACATAATTCTAAATCAATTAACCAACTCCCAAGAGCTTTGACCGGATATTCCAATAATTTCCATCAACGCCCTTAACAAGATCACCTCTACTTAGTCGCACAAAACACACAATCAGAGGTCTATTTTACTTAATAAATTAAAAAATTTAGATTGGTTTTGAAAAATTACTATTGACCCTAAGTTGATATTATAATAATTTTAACTTATGTAAGTCATAATTAAATTTTATTATATCATAATTTTCTTCAAGATACCCTTGCCTGATCTTAAAAAAAAAATTTCATTATTTTGTGTCTAGTCTAGTATAAACACATATAATTAAGGTTTATTCCAATTGGTCTCCCTATGATTTATCAAAAGGCTATAATAATATCCTAATTATTGATGGTGCTTAAAATTACTTACCCCAAGTGCAGAACAATGGTTGTAAGACACAGTGGGGGTGATGTGAATATTTAGCTTTTTGTATACAGTGTTTTGTGAATACAATTTTCTGGTACTCCGCTATAGAGTTTATCTGTATTTTTTCATACAAGTAATTATTTAGGGTTTCTTGCAATTCCATCCTTCCTTTGGTTGATTCTGTGGTCCCCTCTTATTTTGTCTTGTAATGGTGTATGTCATCTTGACGCAAATCGTGCTCACGATCTTTAAAATGGATTGTGTACAAATATTATTTCTATCAGGGAGTACGTGTTCGTTAGGGGCTCCAAAAGTTGTC